TCTTTTTATAAAGTTATAGTAATAAAATATTAAAAATCTAATAGATTATAGCCTATTTATATATAGATATTAAAAATTTTATAAAGTATATTAACTATAATTATTAAATTGATAATCTTATATTAAAAGCTACTAGAAATAATATTAATATTAGATATTTTATCTAATAATATAGAGTAAATTATGATCTTAATCTTATAGCATAGAATTATAAAGAAATAGAATTACTCTAGATATATAATATTATTAATATTAAAAAGATCTACTTTAGAAATCTAAAAAAAAAAAAACTTTATTAAAAAATATAATCTTCTTCTTTGTAGATTCTATAAAGATATTATTAGACTTTGTAATCAATAACATGCATTAACTCGGGTTTGAAGAAGGGGTTCGTAAATAGATACAACTTCTGAGTTTTTTGATTGTATAAACAGCAACAAAGTTGATCGCTAATCCCCTTCCAAAAGAAGCACTAAACCAAAGAATGAACCGCCATATGAGTGGCTCTGCAGAAAAGTACGACTGAGGGCAGCCCGTGCTATGCATTACTATTTACAGACCCAGATCAAGCGGCTGCAACTCGAGAGTCCGGGTCAGTGGTTGACATGTGAATTTGCAGCTGGCGTGGGCTGTTCGAAATATTTATTTGGAGCTCTTTTATACCGGACCTAATTGTGTAGCTACGTGTGTTCTACGCTTACAACAACTTTCTTAGAAGCTCAGTATCATTCCTACAGATATTTCACAGTGATCTATACAGATTTCATATCGATGATCTTTATGGGACCAGGCCATTGTATTATGATGGTCTGCCCAGTCGAAGTGAGTAACCCACCATCGCTAATTTGCTACACTTGGATCTGGTTACTAACAGATACTATAATATTTAAGAACTTGCTATCTAGACTAGTAGCATAGCCCTTCAGCAATATGCTGATAAGTATAATAATCTATCTATATCTTAGACTTCTAGTTATCTTATCGACTATAAAGGTATTAATAATATTAAGTCCTTGGACTAGTATATATATATATACTTACTTAATAATTTAGCACAGATATCGGACAACAGAGTTCCAGGTCCCTGTTTTAAGTTGGTTGGAAGGACATTGACCTTTCCAATTGATTTAAATTCTCCAGATTGGGAGTACGAAAACGTCTCGATGGTTGGTTGATACTCGTAATTCACATAGAACACAGAAAGGGTAGGATGAAAGACCGAATACGAGGTCTACTACCTCTAGGAGAGTCGTGTATGTTTTTCAACCGGAGTGAGTTCGATACATGGTCAATCACGAAAGTTAAGAGTTGATTCTTCGCCATGTCACACTCAACGAAGCATGAACCGCGGCGTGACAGTGTTACCGAGTGCAGGCATGATGGAGATGTTCCGGCTTCGCTTGCGTGAAAATGGACGTCGCATGGCTTGCCGAGGTGCCCATCACCGTTTATAGGAAACAATACTGTTGTAGCATCGTCATATCTTGGTTCAATTGTATATCCGGACCTAGCACTTCCCGTGATTCTTGTGCTAGTATTACGGCTTGTGAAATGGGAGACAACGAGGAATTTTCCGGAAGGATCCAGCAAGATACCTGCTGGCTGTGTGTCGTAGCTCGGCGAGTGACCAAGTTCGGTGAGGTAGCCAGTAGGGAGCATCAATTGAGAACGCAAAAATCCTGCCACCTCCACCACCTGGAGCGCCAGTTTTCTGACGAAAGTCTGCATTGCTCGCAACCTCATCTATGACGTACAATATACCCCTTCTGGAGTCCACGGCAAAGTTGCCTACATTGAGTCCAGGTGTATACGAAGCAATTGGAGTCAATATTCCAGTCTCTGTATCAACACCGAATACGTGGAGACCCTCGCTTGTTGGCCCATTTGGCATGAGAAACGTGCCAACAAGGCGTATCTGGTGGTCGTGGGTGACGACAATTCCACCATCGTTGGTAGGTGATTAACAAGGAATATTTCACCTGTGATCGATTTCAAAGCTATAATTCTCGCAAGGTCATCAGCATCAGTATGGAATAGGCGTGGAGGGCTGCATGTTGCTGGTGAATTACCACATGCGATAACACGTCCCTGCCTAGGAGACTGAAGTTGAATGTTTGATAGATTAGCAATATGAACTAGTTGATTAGCGCATTGACCAAAGCTTTGTGTTCAAGATTTTACTTGATGGATGACTGTCATGGACGCAGGCGAGTGTCGGCAAACTGTGGTCAGCTACCGGAGCCGCTCGGCTGGCTATTATAGGACTTGACACTTCTTCTGCCATTGTGTCTCATGATCACTTAACAATAGTATGTTAAAAAACACATTGATAGGGGTTTACAGGCGACAGTCTCGCCTCGGGTGCTGAATGCTTATTCTGCCTGGGCACTGCCTGATGGAGAGTTTGTTTTAGGAACCAAAGCTATGTATGACCTTCATGCTCCATGCTCAATATACGTGACAGGCCGTATATTTCACCCCATGTTCTCCCCATGGGGAAGAACTGATTCCAGAGCAACTATTCCAAACTGCTTCACACGCACTTCACTAATAACTCAACATGTCTAACACGGAGTGCGAGAGAGTTCTTCTCGAGCGTGCCTATGCTGCCAACGCGGCAGACCATGCTCTAACCTGGTGGCAGGCTATGTCCAAGTACAGGAAAGCTGTATTTTGGGCATGCGTTTTTTCTTTCACGCTTACCATGCAGTCCTCGGACGCGACTTCGGTGAGTGGCCCCTACAATGCAGACCCCAGAAGCTGGCATTCAAGCACCCCGCCGCCCCGGGTCCACATCTCAACACACTACATGTGCCTAATTAGCATATTGTCGGTTTCTTTGATGCAATCTCTGATTTGAAGACAGACTACCACTTTCTATGGACAAACACCAATCAAAGAGCAATTCGGTTCAGTTGACAAGGGAGTCCTTGAAGTGTCGGCAAAATGGCAAACTGGTATCCAGCAGGGATTGGCCTGTGGCGAGCTTATTGGTCTTGCTATCGCTGGCTTCCTGGCTGATCGTTTTGGTTGAAAACCTATCCTCACAGGCATGATGGTCATGCTTACTGGTTGTCTGTTTATCTTTGCCTTTGCTCAGAATCTTGGTATGATGGTTGCCGCCATGGTCTTGTGTGGTGAGTATCGTCCAAAGCGCATGCAACTTGCAAGGATGTCTGCTTACGGCCAAAGGTATTCCCTGGGGTGCTTTTCAGACCGGGTGCATTGCCTCCTCCGAAATGGTACCTACCTGCTTGCGCCCTTTGGTCACCGCCTGGATTGGCATCTGCTGGGGACTTGGTTTTTTCATTGGCGCTCCAGTCAATCGTGCATGCTTGCATCTGGCAGGTCAATGGGGTAAGTATCCCCGAGTGACTGAAATAGTATCAACAATTGACGTTATTGTTCCATTTCGCTTTTTAGCATGGCGGTTGCCATTCCTCATCCAATTCGTATGGCCCATTCCGTTACTGATCTGCTTCATTCTGGCTCCCGAGTCGCCATACTTTCTGGTACGCATGGGCCGCCTTGATGAAGCACGTACGACTCTTCGTCGTATCGGGAATAAGGATATCACAGACGAGGAGATTGAACAAACGATTGCCCTTATTGACTACACAAATCGTGCAGAAGTAGAGGAGAGCTCGTCATCAAGCTATGCTGAGTGCTTCCGGGGGAAGAATTTGTGGCGTACCGAAATCGTGAGCAGTCAATGCGTCTACCAAAAAACATTCACTTAAATTAACAATTATAGGTTTGCATCGTACAATTAGCACAGACATGGGGAGGTAATGGGATTAATGTGCAAACTGTTCAGTTTCTGGAGCAGGCAGGCCTGTCAGAAGACGGCGCCTTCGATTTGAATCTGATTTTAAATTCCCAATACCTGACCTTTGGTCTCTTTTGCATTTGGCTTATGACAAAATTCGGTCGAGCAACCATCTTTACCATTGGTCTCATGATCAGCGACGTGTTTCTGTTCGGTATTGGTATTCTAGGCTGTGTCAAACAGACGACAGCGGTATCAAATGCCGTTGGCCCCCTCCTTCTGGTATCGAGTGTTGTGTATATCGCCTCAGTCGCCCCGGCTTCCTACACTATAATTGTGAGTGAAATCCTGACTTTGACTCCATTAGATCTAATTGGTTATATGTATAGGGTGAGGTACCCTCAGGGAAGCTTCGCGCAAAGATGATTTCGATTTCCCGTGTCGCCTTCAATCTTGGGGGTTTTATCACGAATGTTTTGCTACCCAAGATGCTCACGGGTGGGTCGTGGAACCTGGTGCCAAAACAGCATTCGTGTTTGTGAGTTTTGCTAGCCCGTCCCACTTTGGTTTCTTGTTCTAAGATTTGCAGGCCGCTTCTAACGCTCTGATATGGATATGGTATATCTTTCGACTTCTAGAAACGAAGGATCGTACCTTCCGCGAGATCGATATCTGTTTGAATAATCTGGACTTCATGCTCGAAAATGGTGTAAAGCTAAGGTTGATGTCTTTGATGATGCTCTTAACGGTTCGAGAGCCGTTAATGTTGAATTGAAGGGTGTACTTGAGCATGTCGAGTACGCCCTATAGTTCGAATTAGATGTTTGACCTGTTAAATGTTAGCTCTAGTGTTGGATTAGCTTAGAAAGATCTTCCTAACAACTTGTGGGTTTCCAATCCGCATAAGTGCAAGCATGTAGTTCCATCACCCTTTTACTTTATACTGTTCCTGTGTGTATACGAGGCAATAAAATGGGTTTGATACTATCGCTGATTGAGGATACGATATGATTAGATACTTTAGAGCTAAATGTTATGAGCCGCAATCGTTCTTCCTGAGAATGGCTGTTCAAAAATTCGTCCATTTGGATAATCGGGGATTACTACAACTTTTCATGTTATACCTGGCATCCTCTTACTCGTTTCAAGCCACATCGCTAAAATCGCCTCGTTGGTAAGACGTGTCACGACCTAAAACTAATGAGTCCTTTCTTCGCATCATCGCATGTCCCTTTGATTTCTTCTAGATCACTGTATAGCCTGTTCTGATAGTCTATACTTAGGTCATTGAACTATGTCATTTCGTCTATGGATTTAATCCGCTCAATATCTTCTTGTCCATTTTAAAGTTGGCCTCAAGATTTTGCTTAATTATTAGTCTATAATATTCTTTACTATAGTCTATTCGGTAATGCATAGGTGCTTTAGAATGGAATAACCATGCCCTGAAGCATACAGTAGGTGTATATTTGCTAGATGCCAGGGTCTAGTATTAGTATTTTGTGTTAATATTCCGACAATTATTATTATGATGATGATGATGCTTGTTCTTCTCCACCCAACCTAGCAAGCTTGCAAAAAAACCAAAGAAGAAAGGTCAGCTTGGCATAATTACTTTTCCCGCCTCCGAGGCCCCACCTACCATTTGTGATATTAAGATATATACCTTTGGGGTTTGGGGAACTTCACAATCTCCCAGGATAATAGGTTGCCTAGGCATTATTGGCAAGCAATTGCTACCACCTGCTCTGAACGATTGGTACTTCAAGATCTCATGCCGAGACTACCTACAAAACTTATTTTGAAAGCCTACAAGGAAAATCCTTTGCTGGTTCACCTGATCCAAGAATGCCGGATTCTCGAGCATGCGCGGAACGAACTACGGTGGCTACATGAGAGCGCCGTCGCAAAAGTTGCGAAGACGAAGGAATCATCTAGAGAACGGGATAGTCAAATCACACGGAGATGGCAACAGGAACTAAGGAGAATGTGTACAGAGCGTGGCAGAGGGAAACCTCTCCAGTACATACTAGGTGATCAGCCTTTCGGAGAGCTGCAGATCAAATGTCAGAAAGGGGTGTTGATACCACGGTCAGTACTTCGCTGCATACCAGAGAATAGCCCTCGCTCCATGGTGTTTGAGGGACTAACTCAATCTCTATAACAGTGCCGAAACCGAGTCTTATACGTTTCATGCGCGAGATGTTATATTGGAAGGCCATCGTGCCAAACACTTTGGAAAATCGTTACGTATCCTTGATTTATGCAGCGGTAGCGGTTGCATCTCATTGCTCCTTCACTCACTTCTTGCGTCCGACATCAAAGACCTTACCATAGTTGGAGTCGATGTAGATCCTCATGCTATCAAGCTGAGCCAAAAGAACAAATTCCATAATATCCAGCGCGGTCATCTTTCTCCTCGGGCAGAAAATGAGGTATCTTTTTTGCAAGCCGATATTTTACATTCAATTCAATCGGACAGCTCCTTGTTCCTGGATGCTCTACAAACCTACTTTCATACAAGTCGTGATCAAAACCAGAATACGTGGGACGTCCTCATATCGAACCCACCTTACATATCACCTACCAACCTCATGAATGGAACAACTTCGCGCAGTGTTCGAAAATACGAGCCAATCAGGGCTCTTGTGCCTCCTATTTTCGACTGCTCAAGCTGGCAGGATTCCGGTCTTGAACATGTGGCCCGTGAGGATATTTTCTATGCTAGGTTGTTGTCTCTAGCAAATCAATTACATGTCAAGGTTACTGTTCTCGAATGCGGCGACTTGGAACAGGCTCGGCGTGTTGTAACGATGTCCCACACCCTATTCAAGCAAGTCGGTGACGCGAAGCAACGCGTGTACATTTGGGATGATGGTAATTCCATTGATGACAATGATGGGGGTGCTCGGGCAGTCATCATCGAGAGATTTTCATGATGCAATCTACGATCCAACGGCTGGTCAATGCCACTTGAGGAAAAACGTATAATCTCCTCAGTTCAATGTATTGACAGGTCAATATTTGACCAAAATCATCACCATATCGGAAGAAGTCAAAATAATGCCGGAGCCGTAGTCTACGAAAACTCACGGCATGATGACGCTCAGTGCTTAACAAGTATGCTTAAAGAAGGTTCTTCGCCACGATTCGATGAAGAGGCGTTGCAGCCAGGAACCACCGGAATCGCGATAGTCTCTTCCTAAGCAGACTTTGTTAGTCGGTCTTCCCTATATCGACGACTAAGCCTACCCTACAGAGCCTCCCTATCAAGGCTAACGACTTCGAAGATCGATTATATTGATGAGATATGACTAAAACTATTACGTTGCTTGTATATGTATTCTGTCAGCTTTATTCAGAACGAGAGCATCGGAAATATATTAGTATTATTCTGTGGCCGCTGTATAATTTAATGTCCAGTGATCAGGCCAATACATAAATCAATATCAGGCTCACTTCCGGGAATATGGTCTGGCAAATAGGTTATGGCGGAGTCGGCGCTAGTTGAGAACCAGACCTGCAGGGGAGTTCCTTCCTGATCATATTTCCGCAATTCGATCGGTCTCCAAAGGTTTCAAGAACAAAGCTGATTATCTCAACGCATCTCAGCATTGTGATAGGTGTTCTCCAAACAGGGTTGGGAGTAAACATGGTCCTGCACAATCGATAACATCGTCATCTAGTTTGACAAGATAGGGCTTAATCTATTAGTCTCGGTAAGGTTGAACATCGATAAACCTAGATTTCAGGGTAACTTAGCTGAAAGTCAAAGGGAATCTTCCATGATATTTGAGGCGACTGAAGTGCAACTCCAAAGTGAGATCGTGGATTGCAAGAGCGTCGTATGGTATATTGACCTGACCGGTAACTATCTGGAGTTTGACTTGCCCTCCCAATGCACTTGTTGGCATCTTAATCTTACTATTGATCAATTTCGCCAAAATCACACCCATGCACACGATGTTGCGCCAGAGAATGAAATTCCCCTCAAAGGTGATATATACGTTTGTGGTTCTTTATGTGAATTTTCGATTGCTTTGCAGATCCCATCTGACACTCAAATCGCGTACATACGTACAGAGTATGTAGAACTCGACGTCCGCGGCCGCCAAAAGCTCAATCCTGATATTCTTTCTATCATCGACTCATGGTCGGAAAGCCTTTCATTTCGTGAATTATGCAACACTTTTTGTGGTTGTTGTGGCGGAATAGCCTTGATACTGGAGCAAATCTTTCACTGTCATCCACTCTCCGCCGCATTCAGATTTGAAATCCAAGACGGACACTGTGAAGGCATCTTTGCATCATTCTTAGCTTCGTCCCCGTACAACATTATTACAGATTTTGCAATATTGCTGCTTCCTATTCTGCTGTTGACTTGAGTGACCTTACCCTTTCGACAAAAGGTGTTACTGGTGCTAACTTTTGCCGTCGCCATCTTCGTGATTTTGGTCGACCTCACTCGTATGGCTTTCTTTGAACATAACGCTGTAATCCAGCTCCGAAAGCATCATTATTCTAGTGTAGGAAAGGTCGGTGATGAGGATTATACTTGTCTGTTTTCATAAGCAGTGATAACCCATCAGTTTCGGTTGATGATATCTACAGGCTAATCTTAAATACAGACAGATTTTCGTTTTCATTCATGTGATACACTGTGGAAGTGAACATGACCCTAATTTGCGCTTGTGTTCCATTCCTAAGATCTCTTACGACTCGAATTATGACATCTCTACTCCGGAACCCGCGAGAAGAGTCTCAAATTGAGGAGGGAACGTTAGAAGAACCCCAGCAAGCCCCTAGCAGAGGTGAAGCTGTTGCCGAAAAGTTGATGGATGTCACCACTTTGCGTAGGGAGGCAGAGGTTGAAGTTGAATAAGCGGCTAGAAGAGGCGCTGGTGACCTTTTCAGGAAAAGGTAAAACCTCCAATTATCAACGTATTCAACAAAAGACCGGCATCAATGCCGAGGCTGAATGCAAGAGAATCTCTGCCGCCTAACATTTTACTAACCACTCTCTTCTTCTTGTGGGAATTCGGATATGGCCTTATAAATGTTCTCAATACCAGATTCGGAGATCTGGTTGAACTGAACCCATGGGAGATAACGGGGCTTCATGCAGCGTATTTTGGAGGCTATATGTTAGGAGGACTCCTACTGGGTCGAATGTTTCTGAAAAAGCTGGGCTATGCCGGTGCTCTCATAGCTGGTCTTTACATTTACGCGTGTGGTGCGCTTATCTTCTGGCCGTCGGCAGTTCGAGGATCTCTGCCGACTTTCATCGTATCTAATGTCGTTGTAGGGCTTGAACTAGCGCTACTGGAAATGATAGCAAATCATTTCATAACTATTTGTGGACTACTTGACTACTCAGAGATACGATTATGCGTTGCCCAGTCTTTCCAGGGTATTGGTGATATTTGTGCGGGGTTGTTGGCCTAGAAGGTCTTATACAAGCATCCCAAAGACGTGACGGAAGTAGTTAACGCGCAGTGGACTTATCTAGTTATCGTCTTTATTGCTGTGCTTCTTTCCGTCATCCTTTATCATCTTCCATTGTCCAAAGCTCCAAATGACGATCTGAGGGAGGTGGCTGCTCAGTGCCCCGAAAATAGAGCTAAAGTCTTGAACTTCCGGACCTGTAATATTACCTTCGGATTGGGAGACCAGTCAATTCTTTTCTACGTTGCAGGGCAAGAAGCACATGTCGTTAATTTCGAGGACTATGTGGCATTTTTTGACCCGAGGTAGGCCTGACAACATTCTATAGGAGAAGAGCTCCAACTAACAACCCACCTATTGCCTATGCGCTGAAGAGTCTCCTCTGACGATTTTGGAGCCATCGCCTATACAGTATGGACGTTCGGGCGCCTTGTTGCGGCGTTCGTCATGTGGCTATTATTGAAGCCTTGATGGGGGTGATTATTTTATATATAGCATCAATAATATTTAGGGCTCTTTGCATGCACACGACCGGATCGATTGCTGTTGCCATGGATATGCTGGTCTACTTCTTTTCCGGTGGCATCTTTCCTATTGTGTTTGCGATTACGGTGCGTGGGACGGCACAGCATGCAAAGACAGCTGCTTCTCTGTTGGCTGCAAGCATAGGAGGGGTGCGTTTGCCCCTTTCGCACAGCATGCTTCTGTTTTGAGTCACGGTCAGCCTTGGTCCTATAGCACCATTGTTACCCTGTGGAGTGCGGCCACCATACATGCCGTGTACTTGAACTTCATACCTCAAGCAAGAAGGTAGGTTGGTCCAGTAAGGATGATTATATCATGGAGAAATAGCAAAACTATATTTACGCTTTTCTGTTCTAGGTTTCATGTCGGTACATGTATCTCTACATAGACGGACCAACTTTAGCATGATTAGCAGTTGAAGGAGAACCGAAGGAGTCTTGTAGCAAACAATCGAATTATCATCATTACAGTCTAACATCTATTTACAGTGCTAGCAGGATACCTGCTCCCGCAGCCCCAAGCGCAAAATGACGAGGTACACTCGAAACCATATTCCGTGAAGCACCCGACTTAGAGGTACTTGTGACTGAAGTTGATGAAACCGTCCAGGCCGCGCCAGCCCCTGTGGCGGCAGTTGTCACAGGGTTAGCCACAGCAGTAGCACCTGGAACAGCCGATGTGCCATTCGTGATTTCCAGGATATTCTCTTCGGTTGAATTGAACCTCGTCGGAGCCAGTGATATCTCGTTATTCGCTAAATCATACACAACGTAAGCGCTTCGAAGGAATGTGTCTCCCAAGGTAGCAGTGCTGTCACCGGCGGGGACAATGCCAAAAACGCATGCAGGAGTCCCGTCATTGAATGTCAAACCGGATCCGTCCTCTAGAACGAGTTCTTTGATACCGATAGGGATAGACGGACTTGTGAAGGTGTAGGTAATGTTGATGTTCTCATTCATCATGCTACAAGGAACGTAACCCGTTCCTGTTGATGATTCATACACCACACCAAGGTCGTTGTAGATATCCTCGACGATAGTGTCTGGCAGATAAGTCAGACTGGTTCCAGAGTCTAATAAGACCGTAGCTGGAAGCTCGTCGGAGCTGTACGAATGGTCACTGGAACTGTTTTGTAGCGCAACCCCAGTCATGATGACGAGGAACTCCGCATATTCTCCATATATTTTCTGGATTGGCAAAGTCTTAAGTTCGCCGGAGTATTTTCCGCTGTCGACTCCGCCAAAGAGTATAGATCCCGTGTTGGCATCGAGGTCGTTGAGCCACAGACTATATGCATTGGAGTTGATGAGGCCTTTTTTGACTAAGGCTGATGGAAGGTTTGCATAGGCTGCCTCTCCGTCTCGATTGACCTGAATTTCATTGGCGGTATAGCCGATTCCGAGTACGCCGACTGAACGAGAGATATCAGATATAAGAATATGCACTCCATACTTCCCGTGGTCAATTACTCACTGTTTGATGACGACGTATACCCGATACCAAATTGAAAAGACGAAACACTTGATCCACCGATAGTCAAAGTATCGGTGACATAATCACCTGCTGCACCGGTGCCATCGACGTAGGAGATGTTGAAGTCGGAGGAAACGTATTCATAAGTTGATGAAGAGCTCGCATCATATGTCCCGGAAGAAGCGCATTGGTCCGACTTGCTAGTGCAGAGAGTAGAATTGGGTGCATTAACCCATAAATCGCTACTTCCGGTATCTAGTGTCAACCGCAAGCTTTGTGCGGGCGTGCCTAATGTGATATTACAATAGTATAGTGTTTCCTGGACTTCACGGTCAGCATAACTCCTTTTGAAAGGTTCAGATCTTGGTTGGAATGTCTCGATCCCGTAATATGGACTCACCTCGTTATCAAGCGTTTGACTAACGGTCAAACTTCTTTTTCTTCTAATATCCCGGGCAACCGGATCTGATACATGGTTCCGCGAGACGTCCAGTGCTACCACTGCTGCTTTATCTCTTTTTGCAAGGGATAATGCTTGAACCGTATGCAGAGGCTGGATAGCTAGAAATATGGTGAAGATGTCCCGCCACATCGTACCTATTCTATGTCGAATCCAATATAGTCTCCGAAATTCCAGTACTGACTGTGTGGACAAAGGATGGAAATTTCAAAGTATACTAGCGACGAAACATATATGCTAATAAAGTGGTGGAGCATTCAGAATTTTGTATCGACATGTTTGCTCGGAGGGTCAAATCAAAGAAGATAAATGATGCTCAAAGAATTGTAATATGATAAATGTGTACGCGTCTGCGGCAGAAATCTTTCTTTATGCCCACATATAGTAGGTCATATGCAAAGCAGGCTCCACCAGATCTCTAGGCATCTTTGAGCACGTAACGACCCAATTGAACAAACTAACAAATCAATTTGAGATGGAGTTCGTCTGCAAACTTGTCATAATTATGAAGGCAACACTGCCGAAGCAGCATAAAGGGCCCAAGCCGCGTAACTACACCACCCATTTTAGCATTTTGCGCGGTAATATGGTTGCCACACCCCGAGAAGGTCCTATCACAGCTTACGGTCTGTGACGGCCCGGGATTTCCGAGGCCCACTCCCTTATGGACTGTAGTCTGTCCTGCTAGTGCGGGATATCAAAATGCTTGTTTGTGCATCGAACGGATGGGGCTGACGTGGACGATGACGAGGAAGGGCTGATAGAAGCTCCAGCATGCGACAAGCGCTTGCGTAACCCTGAACACGATACTGAGCACTGTTGTGATGTCCGCGTAGGACATTCAGCATCTGATCTTGCCATCCGTATGAGTCTCGCCATCAAGCCGGGACATTGTTAAAACCTGACGAGTTTGACAAAGACTGAGCAAGTAAAATGAAGTTGCAGTCAGCCACCATCAGCCCTTGCAGCGTGCGCCGAGATTGTGTAACGAATATAATACAGCTAGTACTATTGGAGACTATAGACCCGCTTATTCACGTACTCTCCTCAGTCGGGGCGAAGTGTCGTTTAGCTTATAGATTACAAGCCGTAACATAATACATAATTACAGCAGTATGAAAAGAAAAGAGCGCCATCTCATTTCACTTCTGCCATTCTGTTACTTCACGCTCCTTACTACTGCATGCAATAATATACTACTGATTTAGGCTTCCAATTCGACTCGAAACGGTGATCGATCTATGTATACGTCACGCTTCATGATAATATATACACGTGGTCTGGCTAGCTAATGTACACGTCCAGCTCTTCATATCATACATGCTCCTGATTCGCCATGTCAGACGCGTCGTTTGACATCGTTACAAGCCCATGGCCTCTCGAACTGCCTTCATGGTACTGTTAGCGTTTATGCGAGCTCTAGCAGCGCCCTGCGCAGCAATTTCTTGAAGATAACCGTTCTCTATCTCATCCTTACTCATGATCTCCAGAAACCTTTCGCGAATGGGCTGAACATGGGCATTGATGGTCATTTCCACATGATCCTTGAATGCTTTGATCCTCGTTGATCGGAACTCTGAAGCTATTTCTTCGCAGCTTCTTCCGTTGGGTTCTTCCAAGTGACTCAATATCTCAATAAGGTTGGAGATACCGGGTCGACGGATGGGATCATACGATATTCCAGGCTCGGAATCCGTGACTGCTTGCTTGATTTTTTGTTGAACATCCTTTACCGCATCGTTCAAAAGGATTGTTGACCTTTTGTCTTCTTCCGACTTTGACATCTTATGAATAGGGTCTCTCAGAGACATGACACGACGAGCCGGAGCTGTTCAAAGAATCGCGAAAGTTAGCTGTGACCACAATTGCCTTCTTTCATTATGGTCTTTGGTCGACGACATACATATCAGAGCTTCGGGTGCAGGAAATAGGTCGGTATCAAAACGGTGGTTGAAGCTGTTGGCTGTATATCGTGTGAATTCAATGTGTTGCTTCTGGTCTTCGCCGACGGGAACATGAGTGGCCCTGATCAAGTCAGATGAGGTTTCAAACTGCGTAAAATCAAAAACTGATCGGTATGCATACCCGTGCACAAGAATATCCGCAGCTTGGAGGACCGGGTAAGAGAAGAGTCCTAATCTCAACTTGGACTTTGCTGTATCGTTATCTAACTCAACGTCCTCGGGTAAATGTAGTTTGCTCTGTATGAGCAAACATCAGCATAATGCGAACCGTACCCAGGTGATGAGGTTGCATACCTTCCACTGCGTCATTCGAGAAAGATAGCCCATAGAAGCCACTGCGCTCAAAACCCACATAAGCTCTGCATGCGCCGAAACCTGTAGTATGTCAACTAGACGCTCTCATAGACCATTTCAAAAATACCCCACGCACGTCAGACTGATAGAATAGTATGGACTTGCTCGGATCAAGCCCGATGGCAAGCAACATCGCAAAACTCTCCTTCCTCCTTTGCCGCAGTTCATGAGGGCTTTGATTCCCTGTCAACGCATGTAGATCGACGATAGAATATATGCATTTGTCCTTGATACCCGCTTCATTTTGTAATCGCACCCATTCTCGTAAAGCTCCTAGGTAATTGCCTATGTGAGGCACGCCCGTTGGTTGTATTCCGGAGAAAATGACTCGCTTCGGGAATGCCTCAGCAGTGGAGGGGGTATGAATGGTGCGTAGTCGCAAAGGTAATTGTGTGGTGCTCAAACATGGGCAGCATCTTGTTAATGGAAAATTTCGGAACTGATTCTTCGCCGTTCCGAGTCGGATTGAAGTGCGCATCTCGTTAGAAGTCGAGGTTGTGCTTATGGTACTTGATCCAACATTTTTTGTTGGCGAAACTCCGCATGCTTCGGAGATATCACGTGAATTCTCCACGGAGCAATTACTCTACTCGATATGAAGAAAATAAAGCGTCTTTGGCAGCACAGTATTTCTATGTTACAGTAATACATTGTATCTAGAATATGCTACGAACCTTCCTAAAAAAGCCATCTATATTACAAAGGCGCCAGCCTGCTGGAAACGAAAACATCACGCCAAACCCGTTCAACCCTTTCGAACTTCAGTCATAGGGCTTCTTGGGTTTGTGAACCTTTCACTATTAATCTGCTCCACCATTGGCTGCTTCTCCTTTGCGTCGTGTCGCTGACCGAATTGGGCAAAGTATGGCTCCAAGGTCTTATCGACATCATCTGCAGTCGCATCGAGTCTACCGGCGACGTCTATCAAAAACGAGAGTTAGCTGGTGTATAAAACCCCATATCATCGAGAGGAAAGCATCATACCAAGATCGTCAAAGTCAAAGACATTCGCTTTCATACCGACGCCGTAAAACGCATGTCGTCGCAAAAATGCCAACCATAGCTGCACAGTCTCCGGATGTCCATCTTTAATTTGTATAAGTCGTCGTAGTGTAATCCGCTCAAAGTTCTCCTGACTCTTCTTGTGGACGAAATTGCTTCGAGGGACCGTCCATCGCTCCACTATCCGGGGCAAGGGGACAGGTCCGGAGACTGGAAGATTGAGGTAATATGCGGCTCGAATTGCAAAGTCGGCGAAGAATTCGACGTTGCGCACGCTGTACGATCGGAGTTGGAGGTCGCAAACTGGTAAACCGTGTTCTGCTTTCCTTCTTAGTGGTCGTAGGTAAAGTGCTTGGACACTCCTAGGGAGACGGGAACCCTGGGAGACGTCTTTTAATCGTTGAGGCCTGAAATCGAGGCATTAGCGAAGCTCGATTGATGAAGATCGTGTAAATTGGAGATTTGTACCATTGCTTGGCTGGAATTGTTTTACTCGTCTGAGGCGACTCAGCACTTGACTGGGAAGCTTCCGCAGGAATCTCTGGGATTGAGGCTTTGTTATCTTCTGCCAATTGGGATATCTCTTTTATCAAGTCATGTGTATTCGTCGGTGCTTGGTCGGAGGTGGTCGCCAAATGTCTCGTGGATCGTGCGGCCTGTGTGAAATATTGGAGTCAGACAATTTTCATTGTTGGTCATCGATACATATCCATTACCTGAAGTGCCGCATATGTCGGCCGAAAAATTGCCCTGGACAGCATTATGACGAATAGATGAGTGTCTATGACCACTCTTATATAACCTGAGGAAGACGCCCTTCGGACGATGCTGTCCGCACTTTTTTCAGGTGCCGTCCCCGCACACCGCCTTTGCTATTTCTGCCAGTTCCCCAGACAAGCCCACTAAGCATGATCAATTTGATATTGCGCCTTTTGCGGAAGAAGACTCTTCATATAAGGTATCTCTGTCTGAAATACTCTTGCCTAGCTTTGATATCTTTGCCTTGGTGACCATATGTAAGTTTTGACTGCTATCTCAACATACATACTGAGTCATGAAGCATCCCACTTCCCTGGCAATTACAATACACATCCACCAATAACCAATACCCACGAACTATTTGAGAGAAAGTGTGTTGCTAATTTTCTTCTTCCAATGACTAGTCAGAACCGTTGTGGAACAGACCGTGAAAGTCTATTCCAATTTCTACCTTGGCTGTCGCTACCATGGCTTCGAGTACGATCTTTTCCAAAGCTCAAGAGGCAGCCAATTTTCTGAGGGAGCGCCTGGATCCAAGGCTACAGAAACCCAAGGTTGCTATTGTTTGTGGTTCCGGGCTTGGAGGTCTAGCAGATGCAGTTCATGAACAGCCAAGAGTAGAGATTGAATACTCCTCCATTCCTTATTTTCCACGGTCCACCGGTATGTCGCTTTACTTTTTGACTGGTCATTCTGTGGGTGGTTTCTTACAGCAACACAGTCCAGGGACATGCAGGAAAGTTGCTTTTCGGATTTCTGGGAGCTCAGACACCGGCCGTTCTGATGGTTGGCCGATTACAGTCTGTCTGCCTCTGTCTTCTTGCACATAAATTATGATATGACTGACTGGGCTCTAGTTACTTCGAAGGCCATTCTATAGAGGATGTGACATTCCCAGTCCGAGTCCTTAAGCTTCTTGAAGTGGAAACGATAATATGTAGGTTTGAACATCATCTCAATTCATCTTATCCCAAGGTTTCTCTACTAACTGGCTAGTGACCAACGCCGCGGGGGGTCTCAATCCTGAGTATGCGGTCGGAGACATAACAGTCCTCAACGATGTAAGACAGCCGCACCAAATGTGTAACAATAATATAGCGCTGTGCTGAGTGTATGATTAAGCACATCTTCCTTGCCGGACTTTCTGGTCTACACCCGCTGCGTGGACCAAATGTCGATGAGTTTGGTGTCCGATTTCCTCCGCTTTCAGATGCGTATGATCTATCGCTCCGCCGTTGTGTCCATAACGCATGGCGAAGTATCGACAAGTCAGAGAAACGGCGACTCCACGAGGGAGTCTACGCGTTTGTGTCTGGACCAAGGTATGAACATCTTTTTAGCGACATGGACATGGTCAAGCGCGCTGACTGGAAGTATGTAGTTACGAAACACGTGCCGAATGCCGTTTGCTAAGAAACCTCGGGGCCGATGTGGTGGGTATGTCTACCGTGCCCGAAATCATTGTTGCTAGGCACGCTGGTATGCGTGTGTTGGCATTCAGCCTTGTCACAAATAATGCCGTCCTTGCTCCTGTGCCCCGAGGAGATGACCATCTCCTTCAGTCAACCTCTACTGGTGAACTGGATAGTATCATCAAGGAAGGCAAGGCGGACCATCAAGAAGTTCTCGAGACTGGCCGACACGCTGCACAAGACATGCAGGTGAGTCGCCCGATTTTCTGAAAAACTCAGAATAGATGACTGACTAGAACCATAGCGGCTCGTCGTTCAGGTCATCACTGACGTCTTCGAGAAATCCCCAGATATATAGGAGACAGCGTCCAAGGTAGCTATCACACAACCACTATGGAAATATCTCAGCGCCGTCTTCTCGACTGTAAACGGTTGTAGTATGCCTTCTTCCCACTGGTCTTGGCTACTTGGATCTGATTGTACTTGGCCTTGAAACGACCTGACTGCTGTTCTGCAGAAAGTATTTCTTCGACAAAATTCTGCTTGCGATCCTTCTTCACAATACGAGACTTGAAGAACTCGGTTGGACCTTCAACGATAGTGCCAACCTGAGAATACTCGGGTATACCATTACCACTCTCCTTTTTGTAGTGTCTGTGCGGGTCGAGGACGTTACGCATACGTAGGAGTTGCAGATCCCTCTTTAATTCTGCAGTCAACCTCGTCTTTGGCATGTTGAACCAATCACTGCCAGCATTGTCCTTTTCCTAATCGACGGACAACTGTTAGCCAAAAGACTCAGTGATGAATTGGTACTATCAAACTCATGATTCATGGGTAGCTGCTCAGAGTAACTATGAAAAATAAAGGCTCTCATAATTGCAGGCCAGCCCAAAACGGACTGGTGATTCTGCATCAAGTGCACAAGGCAGAAAAAGCTTACATCATAGCAGCAAGGCAAGGATATGAAATAGAGAAAATAAACGTACCTTTTCTTTGCCCGAAGACTTGGCTGCACGAGGCAACGGCTTCGCGGTAGAATCAAGAACAGTGGGTGAGGCGGCTTGCAAGTTGTTAATCGTGGCAACCTCGTCATTCTGCTGGATGAAGGGTTTGAGAGCAGCACTAGCTGGCAATTTAGGGATTCTTCAGTCCGATTATTTAGTATGTGGCTATGTGAAAGTCTGAGAGCAAGAGAAACATACTTGGGTATATCTTGGGCTGACACGCCAGTCTCTGAGATCGAGATCAAAGAGTTGTCAGCCGAGGACGGCGACTGAAGTCGGGCCTGTGCTTCATTCAGAAGCTGCTGGATGTATTGATCTTCGTCCAGACCATTAGGCAGGGAATGCGTGGTAGTGCTGTCCATCTTTAATGACGGACTTCACATGAGGATGCCGAGCGAGACACAGTTGTGAGGCTGGTCTGACTGAGTGTGCGAGAAAAATTGCTATGGGAGAAGCTCGGGAGTATTTATTCAAGGATTTTTTCGCTGCTAGCTCGAGAGTGGGGCTTCTGCTCGAAGAGGGAGCTAGTAATTTTTAACTAGGCATTTCCATAGTCCTTGGAGGTTATTATCGAAAAATACACATTCTGGAAATCGAATTACATTAGCTACAGTAGCACCGTCACGTACCGCACTTGTCTGCGTACAATTTCGATTTTTGTATGTATTTACTGTATGCTCAAATACACACCGGCCGGAAACGGCATAACGCGCAGCATCACATCACACCCGCCCGTCGCGCGTGTCTCTCTTACAAACTCATCCAACTACCTATCTGTGTGCCCAAAGACATCAGGATCAGAAAACCGGCCATTACACGTCTTGGACCCAACTATTCTTGGGACTTGTATATCCTCTATACGTGCAATCTTGATTCCTCCATATCTTCATCGCTTTTGTCCTCCCAGAAGCCCGCCGCGCCTGTATACACGTTCAAGAGCTCTATCTACAATCCTCACCCAATAACGATCGATCCTGTGAGGAATTAAGGTCCCACCACCAACCAACCCCTCGATTGGATCACCAAACATGGAGCAAGCTACACAGTCATCCGGTCAACAACAGAACCGCCAGCAGGCTGTTTACGATATTCGAAACGGCGGTCATTATGGTATGTATTCCTAAACTCGCGATTTGCGTCATCACGCCGACCGACGGACTAACAATATATTAGGCGCCAGCGCAGCTGTAAGTGCAAGGACGTAGGGAAGTTGGGTGTCGCGTCACTAATTACAATCTACTCGAACCTATAGCTATCAGCACAAGGATATGCGCCCGTCGCAGAGTTGTACACCGGCGCATGGTCGAATGTAAGGCCCTGCGAACCACACCGTGTGTAGGATCGACAGACTGACGGAAACAGGTCAACCAAGGTCTCCAAGGAAACTCGCGCGACATCCTGACTACCTACTGGCAACATATAATCAACCACTTGGAAACAGACAACCATGACTACAAAATACATCAACTACCGCTGGCGCGTATAAAGAAGGTGATGAAAGCCGACCCGGAAGTGAAGATGATCTCCGCAGAAGCACCAATTCTCTTCGCCAAGGGCTGCGACATCTTCATCACTGAACTCACAATGCGCGCATGGATTCATGCCGAAGACAACAAACGCCGAACGCTGCAGCGATCCGATATTGCAGCCGCCCTGGCCAAATCCGACATGTTTGATTTTTTGATCGACATCGTGCCCCGGGAGGAAGCTACATCGCACGCGAAACGATCTAGTCAAGCCGGTGGTGCTGCGGGCACAGCGGCCGCTGCTGGTGCATCAGGCTCGTCCGGTGCCGCAGGCCATATCCCTGCTGCTCAGGCTGGCGTGCAGCATCCTCACATGGCTCCCGAGTACCTGGGTCAGCATGCACTTGCACAGGATCAGGATTACAGAAATCAGCCGGGCATGTACCCTGGCGCAGTGCAGTCGGATCCTGCAGCTTATGGCCAGCCTCAACCTCAAATGTTTGATGGAATGTACACCGCATACCCCCATCTGCCTCCTCAGCAGGTACGATCCTTTCTCCATTGTCTCGTGTGGAAATCAATTACTAACGACGACATAGTAAATACCTCAATCAACTAGCTAATACGAACCCCAATTGGCCAATGATTTGGATATAGTTTTAATTCTTTATCGTCTAACAAGAGGTCATCGGAAGGTTAGTGTATTGGGTCTTGAACGATTAGTCTGATGGTTGGCTTGATGGTTGGCTTGATGGTTGGCTTGATGAAGTCTTGATTTTTGTTTCCTATCTAATGTGCTATGCAATTGTCGATTACCAGGCGTCTTTTGTCATTATGTTTATTTTGGTAGTAAAGTCTCGACGGGATAAGAATTGTATTTATGTTTTCACTGGTTTTGGTGCCTTGATAAGATTTGGTTTCTTTCAGAAAAGGAAACCTGATATCTCGTAGTTTTACAAGAATCAAATGGTAGTAATCACCTATTTCATTCCGAATCTTGACGACAATGTCGCGAATTTCTCGTTCTTGACGGGACTTGAGACTGTGCGTGTGAGCCTAAGCAAAGCGATGTGTTAGCCAGTGAATCGATTCTGTTGGTGATTATGTCACTTACTTTTCGAGCAACATTGGTCCATTCATAGCGTCGACACGGCCATACTTCTTGTTGCGCGTGGAGATATCATAAAATTCGTCAGAATTATCTGACTGAAGCAGGTTGACAGTCTGCTGAAGTTCGTCCAGATTCTCTCTGAGGATGGGATTATTAAGACTGTCGACAAAAGTTGCAAGGTACTCGACATCTTTGGCTAATGCAGTGACACCGTATGGGTTGATTTTGCGAACCTCCGGTGAAAGAGGAAGTGCCAGGATTTCGTTCGCGGCGTGACTCAGTGCGTCAAAGTATATGAGTTCTTTGATTTCAGTGGGCAGGCCGAGCAATGTCGAGTTCATGATGTTGGAAAGGAATCGTGTCAGTGTTTGCATGTAGTTACTGGGCTCTTCTGGCTCGACTGTAGGAGTCCAATCATATTCCGCAGTTTCAATCAGATCGTCAATCTTGGAGTTGACCACCTCGAAGATTCGTTTTTCGGCCGCTTTCTTGTTATTACGGAATTTCTCGGTGGCTTTTAACGAAACCGGGCCAGCAGTAGAAGCCTGTGATCGAGCAGCAACAAGAAGTGCCTCGAGCTCTTGACAGGCCATTTCAAAATGCTCAAGGTTGATCAAAATCTGGACGATCTGTCCTAGATATTGCGAACTTAGGCGCTCAACGAGTGTTTCGCAGACCTCGTTTGATAGAAGGTCATCCAAAGCCTAGCAGCTACATTAGTTGGGTGTAATGAGAGACTGGGAGGTGACTCACCATCTTGAGTGTCTCGTCAATAACATCCGCGTGCGAGAAATCGTCGTTGGAAAAGAAGTAGAATTGGTTCAAAAAATTCCTTATGTCAATACAACAAAGAGGGTACATTTGGGAGAAGGGCAGCACGCAAGGGAATCTGAGAGATATGTCAGTACGCAGTGCTTCATACGTAGTTCTCGTATTCGTCACTTACGTTTGTTCTTCACGTGGCTTTTCTGGTGTGTACCAGCTGACATTGATGACTTTGTCAAATTCTTCGAGATTTTGAATCGGCATAGGCATGTAGTCGTCGGTAGAAACAATCTAGGTATGTTAGTAGGGACATCGGCCAGAAAAAAAAACCCTTCAACTAACCTCTTGAAAGTCGTCACTAAATCTGGTCTTGAGCAGATCGGCATATCTTCCGAAAAGAGTGAGAAGAAGTTTGTCGAAAACCGTAGTTGAGAAATTCCACGTCTACTAAGGTATGAGTCTTCGCTTGTACATCGAGGCTAAAGGGAAAACTTACATCCATGGCCTGCATGAATAACGCAACGAGATTTTTAATCTTCAGTAGACTCTCCGCATTATCAACTTCAGGAAGTGCTGCTGTGATCAGACCAGCTGCTGTGTGGCACATTGATTCCCACAGTTCTTCCACCTGATGAGCAAGACGAGAAGTTAGTCATCAAGCATGTACAAGTTTCGGGGGACCAAGCGCATGCAGTATACTCACATCAACAGACGATCGAAGATCTGGAATTTTCTTCATCGTAGATCTTTCCACGATCGCAAAGCCAGTCATCTCTTCCAACAGGGTATGCAAGCTAGCGCCATCGGCATCAACTAGCGTGATAGAACTCGGAAGTAAAAGTTCCTTTTGCCGTCGTCGTGTCGTTGCATATTCTGCTCTAAACCTATCCATCTGTCCCAACGATCTATGAATGTGAAGACATTCAAACAAGGGCGTAAAATCGACTTGGAGGTCTTCATTCTGTAGTAAATCGTACTCTTCATGCTCATCAGAGACCAGTTCAATAGCTGAGTTGAGTTTGAATTGTTCCAAATATCCCAAGTGCTGGGCCCTCTCTTTCAAGCGCTCCTTGCGCAAGTTCGTGTGATACAAAGCAATCTCCCCCAAGTACTGCGACATCTCTCGAATTCGATACAACCACGTATTCAAGTCGGACATGACAGCCTCTGCGATCGCTCTTTGAGTTGCCGGCACTGATCGTTGAATCAGCTCTGATATCTTGTACTGGGTAATTTCTTTGAGGTGAACATTTTGCAGCTCTTCCAGCGCTCGCAGAGCCGCATAATGGTTCTTCTTTCCGAGAAGGTCGTGGACCTGGTTTGATAGCCTCAGAACTTCCAGGCAATCTTGAAGTGCGCGAAGGCTCTCATCAATGTTCTGTCGATGACTCCTTGACTCAACCAGCGCCTTCTTCTGTTCAGCTAACTTCTCTGTGCTGGACTGGATGGATTGGTTCAGATCCAAAATCTCCGACGTCAAGCTGACTGTGCCCTCGCGGATTCGAAGAAGCTGATTGACGGAAGTAACGAATTCTTGGTGGTTTGTATTGCATATATTCTCGATCTCCTGCTCCTTATCGCTGGCGAAGCGGGACAACGATCGTAGAAGCTGCGACGTCTGGTTGCCATAGCTGTACTCTCGAATTGAAGGGATAAGCTGGTCTAGGTAGTCCGAGTCCGATGGGGACATGACAATCTATATATCAACGTTGTTAGCTTGTCGCATTCCAGGCACCGTTCTAATTGAGTTGGTTTCACCTGATTCAGAATGTTCGTGGAGTCATTGCGATGAGAGATGGCGGACGGCATTGTCGCCCTTTGGTATTGTATAGTTATAGCAATCAGCAAGTAGTAGTCATATCGTAGAATATCGTAGCAAGCGTGTTCTTGAAGTTGTCTGAAGTTGTGGTAGCTGTCAAAGTGTATGGCGGGTAGGCGCGACCCCGGAATCACTGTGGGGCCGCGCCTTCCTTGCATCACTCGAAGTACTCTTCTCATCATGTGCTACGATATACTACTAAATGCTACTATATTAATGCTATACGAATAAGTATACACACATACACTAAAAGCCCCATTCGATGTCGTTCCAAACGATGCCTTGTATAGGCATCATTGATCTGGGCATGGCGTCTTGCTGCTCTTCATATGAATCTCTTTTACGGTCAAATACCAAGCATTTTGCTATGATGCCGCCACCCCTCTTACATCCTAGCGGCTATGAGCAGCAGTGTTTGGATTGAACACTTCTCATACATCTCTGGATTTGCATCTTGATTGGCCAGAGGCATTCCGTGGTTGGCATCTACCGAGTCCTGCCCGAACATAGTTTATATCCTTGTTAGATCCGAATTCGCTCGACGTCTGTCTGTGCCCAAACACTCAGTGAACCTATCTGAGAGAGAGGAGATGATGCAATCAAGTCAAGTGATTTTACTTCACTTCACTTGAGCTCACGTGACTGATTGCAAGCCCTAATACTTTATCTGGTCGTTTCAAGGATCTATTTGTTGCTCCTTTCTCTTTAAGACGCTGGTTGGTGAATCAAAGAATATAATTGCACATAAGCCTCTGTTAACCTGTGAGTGTTAAGTCTACTATACTGTGAGGTTAACAGCTAACTTCTTAGCTCTATCATAGTCAGTTTCTTCACTCTATAATGTCGTCTTCTCTTTGAAGCTTCTACAATGTTGATTAGAGACCAACCATCTTCTAGAAGGAAAAGTGAACCTTATTAGTCGCCAAACTCAATTTCTCTGATCCCCTTTGACAGGGCCGTCCTATCATATAGTCTCAATCCTGCTCAGGTGCCAGTGATGTCGTTGCGATATTGTGCTAGGGGGGGGTGACCGCCCTATCAGACACTCACCAGCGGCTAAACGCAAAACATTGCCCGGATATCTGATGTTTGACCTTGCAGCACCGCCCTATCGTGATCTCTGATACTCGACAAACATCTTATTTTGACGCCGGCCGCGGCAATGATGGTGGTGTGCTGTCCAATGAAAATTGTCCAGGAGTTGTCGAGATAGACACATGATGCTTTCTTTCCATCGGCTTCATTCTGTTTGCTCTCCCTCCTCGACTATAAAATTCCCCCCTTCTATCCTCAACTTCTTGTTTCTCCCCTGATCCTCCTTCATCCTCCATCTCGCACTCATTCTCATCTTCTTTCTTGATCTCAGTTACCATCCATTTTGATCTCTCTGATCTCTCGCAATCTTTCTTGCCGGTGTCGTGGTGCCTTGTTGGTCAATTGATCATACTGTTGAGGTAGAAAGCACCTTCTAGTTAGCTTCAAGTCTTGTCAGACCCTCTCTTGTCTCTTTCTGGCTTTTCAACCACTCTTCGATCTTGAATCATCCTTGGCCATGCTGTCTGAACGCCAGGCTATTGCAAAGAGCCCACACTCATCTGAGGAAACGGTTGCAAATACATCTGACATCAAAATGACTGTCTACTCTTCCGAAGAGCTCAGGGTCCCATTGTCATCTCGTGCTCAGCAGGATTTCCGCCGCTCTTTTGATGGAATGGCCACCTTTTCTATTTCGTAAGTCTTGAACGTCGAACAAGGCCATTATACTCTTATCCTGCTGCATCTGCTGACTTCTGAACTCGCAAAGACCTGCTGTGGATCCTTTCATGGGGTCAGGTTACCCTCAGCTGTCCTCTGCCAACGTCGACTTTCAGCGCTTTGGCTTTGGTGACGGTAAACCTAGCACTTCTCGTGAGAGCCCTATGCGCACAGTTAACTTCGCTGGCTTGCCTACTCCACACACAGAATCTCGTCCCAGCAAGCTTCATTCTTCGGAGAATGACACTCTTGCCAGCCCCTTTTCTGGCTCTCGTGGCAATTTCGGGCTCAATTCCAGCCGAATTGAATCCCCTTGTTTCCCTCCAAAGGCTCGTGCCTTCGTCATCGAGGGCGTTTCTCCTGCCATATCCCATTTGACTGTAGCTGGTATCTTTTCAGTAAGTTTCTTTTGTCCCCTTGATTCGTCTTGCAACATTAGCTGGAACTCAATGCTGACTTGTTGTGAACAGCGCCGGGACTTCGAAAGCGTCCAAGGTCCTTACCTCTGGGAGCTCAAGTCTTTGGGCAAGTTCATTGTCGCATTCACCGATCTACGTGATACTCAGCGAGCCCTTGACAAGGTTCAGCTCTCTCATCCTGAGTGGCGGCCAACTCCTCTTCTAGCTCGCGAATGCGCACAGGAGTCCCACGGTTTGATTGGGGGTGTTTCTGATTTTGAAGGCCAAATTGCTATCAGCGTTTTCATTCATGGCCACAACGATATGGATGTGAACTCTCTTGTACAGGGCTTGGTCAAGGGCTTTGGTACGTTGGTTTCCTTCAAGATTCCTTATCTGCAGGCAGACAATATCAAGAAGTTCTTTGTCGAGTTTTGTGACACCACTGATGCTACAAATGCGGTGGCTGTTCTGAACGGTGCAATCATCGAGGTCGGTCACAAGATCCATTCCACCTTTTCTTTCACCTCTCTCGACTGAAGTCTAACTCTCCTTCTTTCTTTTTCCAGAATCTTGAACTTGAAGCCAAGCACGTTCGTCCTGACTTCGAATCTACCTCTAGCAACTTGCTCCAACAGTTCATGAACACTCGTGGCAAAGTCTCTCCCAAGAAGAACCCCTCTTACCAGATTGGTGGATGTGCTCGTGATCACAGCTACGTCTTGAGCCCAACTGGTCGTTCTATCGTACCCGCGGATGACATCTCAGACATCATGGGCATTCTTTCACCTGTTCAGAAGATTTCCAGTCTTGACTCCTTGCCTCAGCATTCTGACGGCCGCCTTTCCGACCAGCGTCCCAAGCATCCCCAGAATCTCGTCGATGTGAACCGCATTCGCAAGGGTCTTGACGTCCGCACTACAGTATGGCTCCTACTTCAGTCCTCTTTTGCTCTTGGCTAACCATGCTTCTCTAGATCATGCTCCGCAACATTCCAAACAAGGTGGACTTGGTAAGTGAAAAGTCCTGAGTGAACTAGATCTGTCGTTCCATTGCTGACTTGACCAGTCTCTTCTAAAGGCTATTGTCGATGAGACCAGCTTTGGAAAATATGACTTCATGTACTTGCGAATCGATTTCGCCAACAACTGCAAGTTAGTATAATCTCTCTGTCGTTGTTGCGACTCATCATCTAACAAGGAATTAAATAGTGTTGGTTACGCCTTCATCAACTTCGAAGATGTAAGTTTTCATTCCTTTTTTCATCTTGCTAGTACTTGTGCTAAGTACGACACAGCCTCTTGACATCATTGACGTGAGCCATCAATTCAATAAGTCATGCAACTGGCGGCGAATTACTAACGTCGCACAGTTCGTCGAAGCTCGAGCTGGTCATACCTGGAACTGCTTCAACAGCGACAAGGTTGCCGAGGTATCCTATGCTAGTCAGTCATATGCATCGCTTGAGTCAATGCGACATGCTAACTCATTTGTCACAGCTATCCAGGGACGTGACTGCTTGATCCAGAAGTTCCGCAACAGTTCTGTCATGCTCGAGGATCCTTCCTTCCGCCCAAAGGTAAGGACTATCATTATTCCGCGCATATGGAGTCGTTCACTGATCACAATTATAGTTGTTCTACACTGGCACCGGCCCTCTTGCTGGAACTGAGGAGACCTTCCCTGGACCAAACAACATGTCTAAGATGCGTCGTAGCGTCGAGAATGCGGAACAAGTCGGTATGTTGAAATATTCATCCGCTATCATCGCTGGGCAACGTGTCTGAATTTTTGTTTGTGTTTAGGTCTCTTCGCTCCCCGCGTGAGCCGCGAAGGTCGCCGTGGACACACTATTCGTGCCGATTTGCCTACCCCTCTTCGTCACCGCGCCAGCCCTCCTCATCGTCAGGGTCTTTCCGGAATGTCTCCTATGACTTCCCCCCTTGCTCTTCGCCGCGGTATTTAAATCCATCGGCCAAGTCGTCCTGGGTTATCAGGGTCATCTTTGTTTTATTTGAATGAGAATTTGAGTGCGAAGTCTTTCTATTTCGAAAATGTTACTGGAATTTGCGTGGACAAGATGTTGAATTTGAAACGGGGAAAAAAAGTATGGGAGTTGAAAAGTGAATTTTCATGAATGTTCTTATCGAAAAGCCATGTATGAGTTATGACATTACGACAGAAATTGTTATCCAAGATCAAGCATGAAAGCTTGTTACAATGAAACGAAATCCCATCACGGATTACTTCCTCTCACTGCGCCGTTACAGCCTCTACAGCTTCATCAACGTCAATATGATCATCTGCTCTGCTCGCAGCACGCCCCCAACGCACAACACCGTTCGCATCAATCGCCCAAAATCCACCAGATTGCCACCGACTCCCGCTCTCAGTAGGCCGATTCCAGATCCCAGTCTCCCGTCCCAACTTGATGACATTCACCAATGCGTTCGGACTCAGGACATGACTCCAGGATGTCGTGCCCAGACCCCATTTAGCGTATATTCTGCGATTGGAGTCGACAATTACAGTCACTGGATTTTGTGAGCCGGGCTCACAAGTTCCGCCGACTGCAGCTACCCATTTGGTTGTTGATGGCTCATCGCTGTGCGACACGGCGATGAAGTCGATATCGGGCTGTCGGCTAGCAGCTTTTCGAATGTCTATGAATGTTGCTTCGGCCACTAGAGAATCTCAATATCATGCTATCTAACGTCTAGTCTGAGGCTTGGAGAGTTTACGAACCAGGACATCCGCAATGGCGCAGGAATGTTACGATGGCTGGCTTGCCATTATCTGCGGGCAAAGGCAGCTCTGGACAAGAGGGCGCCTTGTCTCCGATCCGAGGAGCGGCGGAGAGATCGACAGGTTTTGGAGAGCACCATGATGAAGCTTCTGTCGAGAATGTCATTCTGTGTTATGGATCGTGTGATTGCGTGGAGATCAAAGATAAGCGGAGGTGATAAGATTGGGATATGTCGGAAAGCGCTTGTACGTCATGATAGAGACCCCGCAATATAGACGACTGCCGAGGAAGCGCGACGCATTATAATTTTTGTCCATCTGTGTTCAAAAGATGTTGTCCCGAAGAATACAATAGAGTGCGGAGAGTTGAAGATTGATTGCAACAGTACAGTCATAGCTTGTGCCGGTTGGAGAGCCCAGTAACCCTAGCATTGTGGACTAATGATTCCTATTAATCTCAAAAGGGTCATCATGGCGAATAGTTTCTAGACCAGAAGTTTGTAGAGAAAGTCTAGAAACATACTCCTGCCATCCTCTCCCTCCATTATTATGTATGGAGAACTGCGGCGGAAGCCCTCCGGAGGGTCGGAGGGTCGGTATTTGTGGACTTAATTAGTAGACTTCAATATTTCCAGTCACCAGCGTCAGATTCACTACTGTCTACACTTTAGACACAGGGAACAGTGCCCTGTTCTAGTACTGGAATATATAAGATCGAGCATCCCTTGCAATCATGAATCATGTTTTGCAAGACAATATCGTCCTTTTCCGTGTTGATACGTCCAAGACTCAAACCTCAAAATGTTGCCCCCGTTTCCGTCACTGACCAAGACTTGGCATACTTCCACGTATCCGGCTATTTCACCACTGAAGCCTTCATTGTTAGCTAGAGGCAAGACTATACTCGTTACTGGTGGTGTGAGTAACAGCTCTGGTCCCTTCCATTCCATCAAGTTGAAGCCTCTCCAGCGCTTTTATCACATTCAACCCGGGAGATCATTGCTAACGTGGTGATAAAAGGGAGGTGGGATCGGAGCAGGTATCGCTCGCGCATTCGCAGTCGCCAGCTCAACGCAAATCGCCATTGTCGGTCGACGTCAAGAGGTCCTAGCCTCAACAGCAAAGGAACTCGAGAACTCATTCAAAGGTCTCAAAGTCCTAACTTGTGTTGCCGATGTCTCCAAAAAAGATCAAGTTGATGCAGCCTTCGACCTTGTCGCCAAGCAGTTTGGGCCTATTGACGTATTTGTGGACAATGCCGGTTATATATCAACTGAGCCAGTGACGAAACTGGGTAGCGACAGTTCCTGGGCAGTCTTCGAAACCAATATGAAAGGCAGTATATATACAGCACAAGCTTATGCTCGCACAGCACGCAAGGATCATGCAGTGATCATCGATGTGTCCTCCATCGCTGCAATCATGCCTCCAATTCCAAATGGAGCCTCCTACTCGGCAAGTAAACTCGCTGCAACGAAGATTTGGGAATATTATGCGGCAGAAAACCCTAACCATCGTGTGGTGAGTATACAACCTGGACAGATTGAGACGGATATGGCCAGAAGTATTGGTTTGAAAGGCGCAGATCATGGTAAGCATAAAGATATCCTGATTTATCAGCCAAAGGCAACTGACGAACGGTACCAGTCGATCTACCGGGTCACTTTGCAGTGTGGCTTGCAAGCCCTGAGGCCGCCTTTCTGCATGGCAAATTTGTCTGCGCAAACTGGGATGTCGAGGAACTGATATCGCGCAAGGAAGAGTTCATAGCGTCCGACCTGGCAACCATTAGATTGTCTGGATTGCCGTCGTTCTGAAGAAGTAAAGAATGGCCAAGAAGTAGAAGCTGAATATTGCAAAAAATCACAACATCCTAGTGAAACTCCTTTCTCGAATAGGGGAAGAGTGTGCGTAGTTGTCCAGTGTAGAAAAAGAAAGGAACGAAGTGGGGACGGTGCCTTGCTGCCTCAGGATTCAGGAAACAATCTCCCATACGAAAAAAGCTTATATCGACGTCGGCCCATTCAAAAATTCTGTACTACAAATTCACCATAAACATCACATAGAAAATGGAACAATCCCGCCTCGAAGCAGTATATTCCACCGTGCACCTCATATATCATCGCAACAAAAATCAACACGGGGGAACCGCGTGGTGGAAATGGTTATCAATTCTTCGTCGGTGTCTTGTCAGATTGATAGATGCTACTAGGAATGAGCAGAGATGCATGAATATTTCGAGATTTCTGCATACGCGTGTGATTCCAAGGGCTTATGTGTATGTTTACTACACGTGAGAGATGTGGGTTGTGACTAATGAATACATAGCGCTTTCTCAACTGTGGTCGCCGATGGGCAATTTTCTACTCTTGGGACGGTTCTCCTAGCGGCGCTCGCACAGACAAAGAGGGTTATCATGCCGTTACCATTGCTCCCACGACGAGAACCTTCTATGAAACAGAAGAAAGCAATTTTATTGACAGCAAAGATACCTGAGGACATGGACAGCGATTTCGGTGTGCCCATTCGTCGGGCTGTTGAGCCCGTGAAAGAGAAAAAAGTATTATCTACGCCATCCATTAGCGAAAAGAAATCCTCAAAGCACACTACTGACCCCGAAGATGTTGAAAAACTGCTTCCTGCAAAGCATACAACAACAAAAGTCAAAAAGTCTAAATTCAAGAAAAAGAAGACCGGTAATGCTATCGATGACATTTTCGGTGCGCTGAAATAAGAGGAAGGAAGAATAATATACAGCCCAAAACCAACTTGGCTCGATTTATAAAGACAGGCCATACGTCGCCAGCAAGTTCATACCAAGATGATTTGCCAACGCCCACGCGATACTATACAAGAATTTGGGCGAAAAGACCGTCCAGACAAACAAATGAGTTCTGAGCATGGTGCAGGCCGCCATGACAGCCAACAACTCCATCGTCGTACTAAAAGATAGCAGCGCTACTCGATTCGTTGCCTCTGTCCGAGTCATACGAGGCTGATTTATGGCTGTTTCTGACATCCACCATATCGGTCCTGCCCAGTTGCTGACAAATGTCAATAAACCGACGACGCCGACGTTGTAATCGCTGACGCCATTGTAGGCAGTCGAGAGATCGACGGAGGATAATGCGTTTGATCCGCCAAAAGCGAAGAATGCGACGTGTTGCATGAGAATCAAGTTCAGTGTTGTTTCTATGCTGTTCATGTCTAGTAGCTCGACGATTGAAGCTTGGACCTTGAATAGTAGGAAGAGGGGAATATTCGTTGCCCGTGATTGTGTGATGAGGAACAAAGTAATGGCCTCATGAAGAAGTCGTTTTCGCCCTGCTATACCAGATTTGCGTATTAGACACAGTCTTTTGAGCTTGAGAGAGATTTAGATTGCCTACCATTTTGGGCAATCGGTGATGTGAAAGTGCTGATAAAAAAAACACACACAAGAAGAGCAATACTGATAAATACGGCTCSAGCTTGAAAGACAAGTGAAGACTGAAAACCCCACTCTGTAATCCTAAGCATCATAGGATCTAATAATTCTGGGGCATCAGCTGCCGTGAAAGACACCTTGAAGATGATGGCTGCGAAGGATGCCGCGATAGATAGGAACGTCCACAACGATTTGCCAAATATATCTCTGAAAGGCGCTGATCGAATCATAGATTGACTATTCACCACGTATGTAAGAAGTAACAATGCCCAGAGTAGTTTGGGCTGAGAAGAAGTGATATATCGGACAATGTCAGGTTCGCCTGCGAATTTCTGACCCGTCTGATTCCATCGGCGTATTAAGCGACCGGCTGCCGCGAAGGAAACCGAGTAAATAACGTTTTTGATCGATAGTGTAAAGGCCCCCGATTTTGAAGTCCTAGGATCGTTGTCAGCTAAAGATCAAGATCGGACTTAGCTCGGATGCTCTTACGATTTCAAATGTATATAAACAGCCCAAGCGGTGGTAATCCAATACCAAAATTGCTGCTCTTCCTCCACAAAGCTACTAGCAAAAATCATAGCGCCATGTAGCATCGAGGTGATAAACAGGATTCCCGTAGGAGAGTGTCGAGACGTCGATAAAGTGTAATATGCAACAACAGCAGAAGCAAAGCACGCAATAGCTGCCATCAAAGTGCCAGAATATAGCATGGAAAGTTTATAGCTGCTAGCAGCACCGCTCATCAGACTCTGCGCTGAATGAAGGAACTTGTAATGCGTCATTGTAGATTTTTCGTCGGGCGACATGGATAACCCGGCTGCTATGAATTCGTATTCTAGTCTCTCTAGAGCAGAGGATCCTAGCTCGGCACCGTTCGCGCCTGATACCTTATTGATCTTGTCGCCATTAGCGCTGAATTTGGGATATGCCATTTTGATCACATTTTGAATCTGCACGGTGTTTTCTAGAAGCATGGTCAACCTGTCCACTTCTATGTGGTTTCAATATCAATTAGCATAAATGATGCAGTGTATAACAACCAGCGATAAATTACCGTTTCCCCATAAGCTGAGAAACTCCGGAATAAAGACTCCAAGAGAATTCATTGGTATAGGCACGCCAAAAAGTCCCGCCAACGTTGGCGTGATATCTGATTGTTCCACAGTACGGTAATACTCGAATTCTTCAGCTTCGATAGGGCTGTCTCGGCCGTTGGGCTCCGCGTTCTCTGCGTAAATTTGCAATTTGGGAGATATGAAAGTCAATGCCGGCGATGTTTCCCCTGCAGATGAACCCCCATGGTTTCCTGCTTCATTCATTCCGTGATCTCCTAAGAGAACCAAAAGAGTGGAATCTAGATGATTTTCGGAGATCATTGCATTATAAATAGTTTCAACAACACCATCCATCTCTTTCTGCTTCGGAATCATATGGGAGCTTTCAAGGTTTAGCACTGGCATGGCCCTGAGAAGCGGTCTAACCTACCTCTTCGGTCCGGCTTTGTGACCAATGTGGTCCAATCCAAGATAATGGAGTACCATGACAGACCAGTCATCTTGTGCGAGTTCCGGCGAGACATGTCTTGTAACATTATTGTCCACTTCGGTAAAGTCCTAAGATACGAATCAGTAGACGACCCAATGCTTTAAGATAGGCAAAACAAACGGAAACAAAAAAGCTACTCGTCCCATCGAATCGGTCGAATGTATCAGGAAACAAGTTCAACCACGTATCATCCCCATACATGAGCAGCTTCCCAGGAAGACCATTTTTAAGCTGAGTGATAATAGTATCCTGGTGAATAAGTGTCGACATCCTCTCAGACTCGGCAATGTTGAGCATGACATCTGAGAATGATGGGACCGAGCCTGTTGTTATTGCCTTGATTCGAGGCATTGTGACCGTTGGAGAACTTGCATGTGCCGTAAATGGCCAGGCTGCGCCAGTACGAATTAAACTACGGAAATCAGCCTCAGGCCACTATGAAGGAAGGACAGAATCAACGAGTTTTTACTGACCCTTGGGTGAATACAAAGCCGGAGTTGTTTGAGTACACGAAATCACTGGTCAACAAATAAGCATCTTTCCGTATCCGTAGTTCTTGATGTAGTTAGCCACCTGCGCAAAGCATCAACCACCATTATTATGGCCTTGTCAAAAACCGGCGGCGCCTTTCCCCAGACTGGGGGCTCAGCTGCTCCTGGTAAAATTGGTTTGTATGGAAAATATCCTGAACAGAATAACAGCACTGAGACCGGGATCAATGCATTCGCGAGGAAAAGTGTCCATCTCGACAGGGCTCCGGCCATTGTGGCGCGGAATGACTGCGGGCAACCCGAGAAGAGGAAAGAGGCGATACAACTATAGATGAACCGCCTTGAAAATCATTGATAAGAGAATGTTCACTTGTTGTTTTGGCCAAGTGTGCTGCTACGTATTTGTGAAATGGCGGAATGGTCTCCTTGGATTCATTTATTTACATATTGCCGATTCTGCCACCGGCCAAGCGCGGCGTTTTCGAATTTATGCTCACCGCTTTCTGCCACTACATGTAGACCAGAAAAGACAACGACTAAAATTTGATATAATCTCATTGTTCACAAGTATAATAGAGTATTATAATCAATAATCAGTGCGCAGGTCATCATCACGTAGGGACTCAAGATCAAGTCTCCTGCCCAAGTCCATCGAATGTCGAATTCGCGAATATATTTCCTGTATGGAAACGAAGTCTTGCAGGGTAATTATGCCGGAGGCGATTGTGCAAAAGGCCTTTTGACTCGACTTCGCCCTTGCTTCTTATGACTTGCGACGCGACTCTCGTTTGCGCAGTTGGTTGTCCTCCGCAAGTGTGACTAGATCAAGATGCGATAACGCCGAACACCGTGCCACTGGGACCCCAAACTCCATTGACGTTTTGAATAGAGAAGATCATTTTTGTAATTCACTGCCAATAGCCTATCCTAATTCTTCTTTTGGCTCTTTCGTTGTTTGCCTTGATGTGGTTTAGGGAAAACCATTGTATTGCGGGGCTTCCTTTTGGGTTGCTTTCTGACACGGTTCGATCGTTGTTTCGTAGAGCTGGACTGTGTGATTGCCGACTCGTCAATGGCCATTTCTGTGCTCAAAGTTAGCTTCAAATCCCAAAATGAATGAATATCGCGAGAAAGGTCCCGGGGGAGTGGGAATGGTTCGCTTACTGTCGCTCTCATCTTCCGCTTCCGGTTCTACCTTAGTGCTCTCCTCAGCAGCGTCTTTGGTGGGCTCAATCTTCAAGGGTTGTGCTGCGAGCTCTTGTAGTTTGGCGGAAAGTCTCTCTGTTCGTGCATCGACGACAGGACCAAAGACTGTGCTTCGCAATTTGGCGTGGTTCCTTTTTTTGGTACTTGAGCGGATGCTTTTCGCCATTTTGGATGTCTATTCGCACTGGTTGAACTCGAGTTTAGGGTATTAGGAGTTAGGGTGTTTTGTGATTGAAAAGAATCGAGTCTCTGGTGTGCGAGATCGTAAGATAACTTTCAAGAAAAAATAAATTCCCGCGGGCTATCAGCTGAGCTAACCAAATCAGGTTAAATTCTGTATTTGTTCTGAAATTTACACGATAATGTACTGTCATTTACCATCGCAATACACGATCACCACTCAATGACATGACGATCTACGGCTTCAGGTGTCCAACTGAATAAATAAAGTATCCAGCTCAAGTTCTGACAAGAAGGATATTCCCACCTGCCAGCTTATCCTTTGGTTATAGTCTAGTCTGTTGTACCAACCGTACATAAGACGGGCGGCGAAAAAGCAGACTCCCGCTATTGGCGGCCGGGACGGGTCGACTCGCCGCCATACATTGCGAGAACTCAACTTTGTTTCCCATTCTGAACTCTTTCTCGTCAATCCCTTCAGGCCGGGTATTCTGACAAGCTGTCTCCCATATCTACGAAAAGTATGAAATGTCTGACAGCTTGAGTCAAGACAACAAGGCCGTCACTCACAGGCTATTACACCGTCGCAACCAAACCCGATAGCATCCGTCAGACGCTCTTGTAATCTTTCCAAGATGACGTCCTCAGTCGACATGTCCAACGTGGTCATGATAATCAAGACCATGACAAACGCGCAAATGAAGGAAGCTTTGAGAAGTGAGGGCCTTGCTGTTTCTGGTGTAAAAATCTCCCTTCAGTTGCGGCTCATTGAATGTGAGGAATATTCTTTCTCTTATCGCATGCCTTTCCTTTCTGCGAGATGATATACTAACCATTTTTGTTCATCCCAGATCTTGAGAGAATGCACCAACGTGGCTCTATTGATGATTATGAACGTATCGCAAGAACCCTTTACACCATAGCTGGGATTCAGAACCAATTCCCCAGTTCTACAACCACGGATACAACAACATATCCTGCTCAGCCATCTTACGTCCCCTCGAGACCCACGTCTAAAGACGTCTACAACTCAAAAATGCCCACACAACCATTCACGAGTGGGCGCCTCACATTCAAGGAGAGTCCATTCTACAAGATTATTGAACCACTGTCTCCAACGGTGGAATGCAAAGGTTCGTTGATCGTGGCGGGSGKCGAAAGCATGCGTTGCTGACAATATCTTCCCTCAGTTCGAGAACAGACCAGAGACACCGTCGAGCTCAAATTCACCTTGAACTCCAGCACGGCGCAAAAGCTCCAAGAAGACCCTAATCTGCGCGTCATGGTCTTTTGCGCAGCTGATTCTGGCCTCAATCAATTCTCCAAATCCGACATCGCCTTCCCGTATCAAGTCGAGCTGAAGGCCAATCTAGACGATGTCAAGGCAAATTTACGAGGTCTCAAAAACCGACCAGGCTCGACGAGGCCTGCTGACATCACGAGCTACATTCGTAAGAGGGCGGGGTATACGAATTTGGTCGCCATGACATTTGCCCTGACTCAAAAGGTATGTCTGTTTTTTTTCTGTACGTTGTGCAAGCTCGCTTACAAATGATAGAAATTCTATGTTCTCGTCAATCTCGTGCAACGACACCCTGTTGAAGAATTGGTAGCCGCACTAAAGGCAAGGAATAGGATCACAAAAGATCAAGTGCTACGCGAAAGTACGTTTACCCAGCTTCATTCTTTTGGCTCACGAAACAAATCTAAGTACTATTAGTGCGGAGTCGAGCGCATGATGCCGACATTGTCGCCACCTCTACAGTCATGTCACTGAAATGTCCTTTATCCACCTTACGCATTCAAATTCCCTGCAGATCAATTAGCTGTACACACAATCAGTGCTTCGATGCATCGTCCTTCCTTCAGTTGCAAGAACAAGCTCCCACATGGACTTGCCCAGTATGCAACAAGTCCACGAGCTTCGAGTCGTTACAAATTGACCAGTGAGAGGCCCTACACCAGTATTGAACAGGAATTGAACTAACCATAGTGTAGATATGTGGAGGACATATTACACTCTACATCTACGGATTTAGAGCAAGTGACAATTGAGCCCAACGGGGTCTGGCACATTGATAAACAAGAAGAGCCCGAAAAACGCGTCCAAGCAAGCCCCGATTCTGATGACGACTTTCTCGAAATCACAGATCTATTCACACCAAAACTAAAACGAGAAGCAACTTCCTCAGAACCCCGGGCTACCCTACTTGCGACACCAGTCACCGCTACACAGAACGGCTCSAATGGGACGACACCTAGCATACCACGGTCTAGTCAGAAAAGGCCAGCACCGGAAGTCGTTGATTTGACTCTAAGTGACGACGATGACGATGACGATCTACCCGTTCGGCCACCGAAACGCCAGGCGCTTGCCAGCGACTTTGAACCTCGTCGTGGTTCTCAGCAAGCAATCATCAACGGCTACGGCCATGTCGAAGATCTAAGATCCTCGACTGGTCAAGAGTCGCTTTCTCTCTCGCCAGGACGACAATCAAATATCTACATTGATCTGTAATAGATCAAGCAAATTCCCCCGACAATTTGCTTTCCTTTTTTTTTTTTTTCTTTCTTTATCTTTTGCATGGACCTTCCTAGGTGATATCATTTTTTGCATGTGGAGAGGCGTAGGAGCGCTATGGAGTCCTCATGACCATTTTATCTTTTTCCATTGCGGTATTTAATTATTTACAAGGGAGGGTTTCCTCGGGGTTATAGCGACGTAGAACGAGTTTTCATATCATATTGGGGATTTCGGGAGGGCAAGTTTTACAGATTTGGGCAGCTATGAAATACAACTGTGCATATTCTTTCTGTTCTCTACTTTAAATTCCAAATATGTGCCTCGATGGATCATTCATTAAGTTGTTTTCGAGCAGATAGTATGAACTAGCCTGCAACGTATATATTAGACATGCAGGCAATAAACCTGTTTGATGCAAGACACTAGAAACCAAAAAAGAAGAGTATAATATATTACAGCGAATAATAGAAATACAAGCAGGCGTATTGGCAGAAATGAAAAAGGTGATGGCGTGAGGTCATGAAAAACCATTGATCTCCAGGGAAACAAAAAACGGACAATTATATATACGGGCCTCGATTGCACCCTTCAATCAGTCAATGAATTGTAAGGGATGGTAATCGTGGTATGGGAGGAAAGGCCAAGTCCAGATTGAAAGTGGACTATGAAGTCTTCTTCGTCTGCTCCTCACCCAAATAGTGACGATCATCATTGCCCTCAACAGTCTGCAGGATGTTCTCCATCTCCTTTGCCTGCTTCTCCCACTCCTTCTTACCCATCTTAGTCTCGCGCTGGAAAAGCTCCTCGTTGGGCTTGCGGTAGCTTCCACCCACGCGGTCCCAGAGCGTCGTGTATTGGCCGTAGTTGTAGTTAAAGTAGAGATGGTGCATGGTGTGGCATGCAGCGCCGTTGATGATGGGGCTGTTGGCGACGTATTCACCGTCGTGGATCATAATGGTCCAGAAATTGATGAACACGAAGAGCACGACGTAGGCCCATTTCTGCAGAGGGAAGATGAAGGGAAAGACGTGGTAGGGGACACTCTGCGACCAGCCATCGACGGGGTGGAAGGCATGAGAAGCATAGGGAGTGGGCATGATCCATTTGTGATGTGGCTTKTGTAGTCTCTTGTAAATCAAGGGGKGGTGCAGACCGCGGTGGATCCAGTAGATACAGAAATCTGTAAAAAGCAGGAATAGAGGGAACTGCAGAACGCTGTAATAGGGAAAGGGCTCCTCGGCGAAGGTGTCGTACATTTTGCCGTATCCGCGGACTTCGGCCAGGAAGAATGGTGTCGTGAGGACGGACATGATGGGCATGGCTTCCATGGTCTGGGCAATCTCCATGCGAATTTGGTTGCGGAGGTATTTGGGGTGTTTGAAGGTTGCTTTGTCGAAGACGAAGACATATGATAACGAGGAAAAGACGAAATATAAAAGGACTCCGAAAAGCCTGCATCAATTAGTCACTATGTCTGTAGTGTTCAGCATGAGCCTCAAAATACCATGTAATCAAAAACAGACTAAAAGCCTGTCTGTAAATGTTATCGCGCGGCCAGGCACTCAAATAAGCGTATTTGGAGGGCTCAATGTACAGATATGTTGTCGCCGGTTGGTATTTGTACGCCGATGCATCGCCAAAGAGCGCCAAAGTGTTATTTGCATCCTCAACAAATGTCGAAATGGCGGGCGACAGCGACATTGCCAGGGTGGCCGGAAGGGTGGCCGCATACAAGCGATCCCCTATCAGGAGGTCGAAAACTTCGAGAACGACATCCATGGCGGAGTCAAGAGGCCGTTTGCGCACTGGTGTCTTCAAGTGAGAGTTGGCTGACTGATACTTCCAAGCAGGATATTGACAAGGGTGTGAAATGTGTTCTTGTCTGCTGCGACAGCGTATGTATTGATAGATATAAGATCGAGCAAGGAGAGGATTCATTTTATTTTGTTACTGGTGGATCCCCTCGCCCTGAATGCTTCCGGAACAACTATCATCCGCGAAGAGATCGCGCCAATCATCGTGTGGCTGGCCATCACACCAGAGCGGAACTTCGGAATCCGACCATCACCCGGTGTGGCTTGCCTCTGTGGCGCAGCATACCATGTAAAGCCCGGCAGCCCGACTGACTCGGCCTTTTTGTTTGTTTGACTCGCCATGCAGCAGATCCTCCATTATTAATACTCTACCAACGCTCCGCTGTCTAGAACACGCATGACCCTCAGCCTCAAAGACTATACGAACCAGCCAATCATCAGGCCAGCATCTCGTATTTAATCTAGAGCTCAGCTTAAGGAATCCTTCTTTCAGGAGGTAGCACTCGCGATCTCGGGAAGTCTTTCTGCATTCTGGGCGGTGTGGGTCGCTTACATCAAGTAACTTCGTCTAACCTTTCCCGTATTTGGTACAAGAATTAGACTCTGCTTCTTACACTATATAGAAGCTCAATAATCCCCTTCTCTCCTGCCCAACTTTCGTCCTCTTGCTACTGTATATAAATATCAGATTTATATCATCTCGTCTTCACCACTTGTATAATGTCTCTTAAGTCGGTTTTGGTGACGGGTTGCTCAGCAGGCGGTATCGGTGCAGCCATTGCGCTTCTCCTGGCTAGAAACGGGCATCATGTCTTTGCAACCGCGCGGAATAACTCCAAACTACCAGAAGAGCTCATCACGCTGTCCAACGTCACGGTTCTATCTCTCGATGTCACGTCAATGCCTTCCGTGATCGCAGCTGCCAAGGCCGTTAGTGAAAGTGGTCGCGGGCTCGATGTGTTAGTCAACAATGCCGGTCTAGGTTATGTGATACCCATTCTCGATATGGACATTGAGCGAGCTCAAGCACTATACGATACCAATCTCTGGGGCAGTGTCCGCATGATACAGACCTTCAAGGACCTGCTGATCGCTAGCCGCGGCCGTATCGTCAACATCATTTCTTGCGGTGCCGTTGTGCCCCTGCCATGGCATGCTCCGTATTGTTCGGCCAAGATCGCGATGGCCAATATCTCCGAGACTCTGCGGCATGAGCTCTCTCCCTTTGGAGTTAGTGTCGTGGCTGTAATGGCGGGCACCGTTGCAACCAATTTCGATGCCAATGTCAATAAATTCAGCCTCCCGCCAGGCTCTTTGTACGAGAGTATCAAGGACAATATCAATGGCTGGGTAACGGGCACCGCTAAGCCAGTGGGTGGGCCGGTCGATGAATTTGCTCAGACTGTGCTGCAAGATATAGTGGGCAAGGGGAAAGATGGCATTGTATACAGAGGCCCCAATGCTGCTGCGATGGGTTTTGTGGCAAGCTGGTTGCCAACCTGGGTGACGGTAAGTCAAGGTCTTGGTCCTGTCTGAATAAGCCGCTGAATCAATCTAGGACAAAATCATGCGCAGCTCAAACTCCGGTATTCCTGCGCTCGTCAAAAATCTTTCCTGACGCCATTGTTGTTGATGTTTGTATTTTGTGTAGTGTAGAAGATCCTAAATGATACGAGTGCTCTGTTGTCCAATGTCAACCAGACTAACCCAAAACGGCGGGCGGGCGTGGCTGCTGTGGGCGCCCCACTGCCAGCCTGAGGCTGCGACGCTGCAAGTACGTACTATGTAAGCAGCTAATTCCGCTAAATAAGAATCGTGCTGTGGGGCCTTTCTTTCTTCGTCTCGTCACATCCCGACTTCAGAGCAATCCTGTTCTCATCCTCCCCCCCCAAAGGCAGCTCGTTATTATCGCCTCCGGGACAATTGTTATCGTCATTGCTACTCGCGTAAACCCGCAATCCCATCTCTCCGAACTGTCCATCAAACGGATTGTATTCTCATTACTGCCCGGCAAACGGTCCGACAGTCGCCTATCAGCCGCCATCCGCGCCAAAGGAAGGAAACAGCCGCCCAGCCAAATTCGCCCAGCGCCTAGCCGCCCTGACCACCACGGCCGTTCCTGCCATCTTCTCCGCGCCCGACCTGCCTGACCTTTGATCATCCTCAACAGCGCAGAGTCAACCTTAGCACACTCATAGGTAAGCCTCATCCTCCAACCAAGTTTTTTTTTGCCCTTGATAGCCAATTATCCGTCACGCGACAAGTGTTGTGCATTCTTTTGCTACCGTTTGGTTCGCTTCAGTTGACTTTTCGCGCTGACACCTTCAACAGCTAGCTGTCTTCGCAGGCTGAGGGGCTCTTTGTTCCATTGTCATCATCAATAACCCTTTTTACTATCGAGTCTCCGGATCGCTTTTTCTCGGAATCGATCACAATGTATAACGCACACCGCGGCATGGTGCCTGCACCAAACAACCGCTTGACGGAGTTGTTGGAGCAGTTGCGCCAAGAATTCGAGAGCCAGTCTCGGAGTACCGGCGAGTTTGAACACCAATGTTAGTACCTCTCTTGTGCTTGAACTTCTTTTGGCGACCCTGTAGGTCTTGAATATGCTAAAAGGCTGTGACTGACAACGAATTCAGTGACTGGTCAGATTCAGGAGATGGAAATGATCAGGCAAAAGGTCTATCAGCTTGAACAAGCGCAAATCAAAATCAAGGCCGAGTACGTCCGGGACCATTACTTTTCGCTAACAATCAGTATTAATCTTTGCTGTTCCCTAGGTACGAAAATGAAATCCGAGTCTTGCGCCACGAGCTTGAATCGCGCGGTGTCCAGACTGTCCCATCGCATGTCGGCGGCCCGACTCACGCAGGACCGTCACAAGCCCCTCCAGCGCTAGGACATGGTACAAACAACCTTTTTGGAGGTATAATGGCCAACCAAGGTGGAAGTGGTCCCGGTCTGGCGCCTCCACCCCCTCAAGACCAGCAGCCACCTCAGCACGGTCTTCAACAGCCTGCTCCAGCTGCGCCACAAGGACCTCCCCAGCCTCCGCAGAGCTCATACGGAGGATACCAGCCCGGTGCTGGAGTCAATGGTGCGTTTGTATTATGGATGATATCGTTGTATCAGACTGACTCTGTTCTACAGGATACGGGCCGCCGCCTCCACCCACTGCGTCTCCGGGTCCCGGCAAAGGCCGTGGCCGAGCTCCACCTGGACCTGCCACTCCCCAGCAGACTCATCAGCTCAACTATCCCGCCCCTGGCGCTTCTCCCCAGATCCCTCGCCCGACACCTACAGGACAACTTGTCCGTGAACGCCCAGGCAACACCCTTGCCAATTGGAACCCAGATGATCTCCCTGCTACCCAGAAGCGCGAAGGCCCTGATTGGTACGCTGTTTTCAACCCTGAGGTGCAGCGTGTATTGGACGTTGAGCTCGTTCACCACTTGGTCCACGACAGTGTTGTTTGCTGTGTGCGATTCAGCCGAGACGGCAAGTACGTTGCCACTGGTTGCAACAGATCGGCTCAGATCTTCGACGTTGCTACCGGCCAGAATGTAGCCACTCTTCAAGATGAGTCTGTCGACAAGGATGGCGATCTCTACATTCGTAGCGTTTGCTTCAGCCCTGACGGCAAGTACCTTGCTACTGGTGCTGAGGATAAACAAATTAGAGTAAGCTTACAGGCTCSCGTCTTCATTCTTGCATTGAATGCTAACATTATCGCGATAGGTTTGGGATATTGCGACTCGCACCATCAAGCACGTCTTCACTGGTCACGAACAAGATATCTACTCGCTCGACTTCGCAGGCAACGGCCGTTACATTGCTTCTGGCAGTGGTGATAAGACTGTGCGTCTCTGGGATGTTTTGGAAGGCAAGCTCGTCTACACTCTCAGCATCGAAGACGGTGTCACCACCGTTGCTATGTCTCCTGATGGCCACTATGTGGCAGCTGGTTCTCTCGACAAGAGCGTTCGTGTCTGGGATACAACTACTGGTTATCTTGTTGAGCGCTTAGAAAATCCCGATGGCCACAAGGATAGCGTCTATTCCGTTGCCTTTGCGCCCAACGGTCGCGATCTTGTCAGCGGTAGCTTGGACAAGACCATCAAGATGTGGGAGCTCACAGCACCCCGAGGTATGCTCCCTGGAACCGGTGTCAAGGGTGGCAAGTGCGTGCGCACCTTTGAGGGTCACAAGGTAAGTGATAGCCTCTCGAATGCGGTTTTCTTTCGGTGAAGCTGACTTTGTCAAGGACTTTGTGTTGAGTGTTTGCTTGACACCTGATGGACACTGGGTTATGAGTGGATCTAAGGACCGCGGAGTACAATTTTGGGATCCCAACACAGGTAGCGCACAGATGATGTTGCAGGGACACAAGAACTCAGGTGAGAAAAATCCTCTGAATATACAGGTGTATAAGCTAACAGCAATAGTCATCTCCGTCGCACCCAGCCCCAGCAACAATCTTTTCGCCACAGGAAGTGGTGATATGCGAGCCCGAATTTGGAGGTATGTGGAATTCCTGCAATGATAAAGAAAACGAGAAACGCTACTGGAGAGATTTTGTACATACGTCGAAATCTCGCTCTTCCACCAGCCCTCGAAGTATCATTGAGCAATATAAAAAGCATAGGGGAAGGAGAAAAACAAGACTTCATCTCTAACATACGGTAATAGATACTCGAATTACAATGGGCGATAATTGGATGGACGGGGAAATGTACGAGATGGGACATTTGATCAGAAAGTTTGGCGCAATATGATATTTGCTTATATTTGTTTCCCCCTTTGTTCTTGATTTCCATATTTTGCGTATGTCTTTGTCTGTGTTTGTGTGGATTGATATTATGTGTTGGATGGACAAATGGATCGCACGAACGCCGAACCGACTCTGGAGATGGATTAGTCTTAGAAGATGGAGTATACGTTATTGATGAGTCGAAGGACAGAACAGGAAGGCTAGGTGATTTGATTCAATCAATTTCTATCTACACAGATTACCAGATACAAAATTTCCATTTCCTGGCCTCAGCCTAAGTGATGTATAGACAGACACCGACCGTATCCCTGTAGTCAATAGCCAACATGAGCAGAACATATATTGACACAACCACGTACCTAGCCCACAACTAGCGCAAGTCCGAATCAGAATATGAGAGAAAAAACACAGCCCTAACCCGATCCAAGCAACAAAGGCCAACATTGCTTATTCCCGAACCACAACCTTGGATTTTTGAATTCAGTTTTGGGATCGTCGGATGGATGCTAGATTAATTAGTCTGGACCCTGAATTATTGCTTATTGTGAGGCTGCATCTACTGCTAACTATGTATGTACCACTGGAGTAGTATCTACGCATGCGGATTGCATATAGTGGATTGAGGATATATAACATGACTCCAATTAATTTCTTGAAATATACTACATCTTTGTAGTTCGATGTTCGGGGCTATGTCATATCGTTCCGGGCTCCACGGTGGCTGAATACACGTACTTATACACTTCGTATAGTTGTCGCCTATAGCGCATTATTGATTGGGAGTTAGTTCTCAGGTGGTAGATGGTATGATCAATACGTAACACCAGATTCTAGGCGTCTGGCCAGGTACCAGACTCGGGACGACATGGATCGTGACCTGTCAACAATAACTCCATATTATATAGTATATCCCGTCACTCCCGGTATCAAAATACGAGTTGCACGTTTGTGTCTTCGTATCATCTGGCCACATATCTCTGAGATATGTACGACAAAGGAAAGTAAGTGGCACTATTTGACACCGGGGAAGTGGAAGTGGCATGCCTGGGGACTAGTTCCAGTCCTTCTCGTCATCTGAATATTCCTGCGCCGAGGGCGATCTTCTATGTAGTATACGCCACGCTGAGTTGAAGTCGCCGAGAATGGTACGCACATCGACTGATAGACTCAATCATCAATGTCATCGTAGCAGCCGGCGTAATCCTAGTAGAATTCACGTATAGTCCGGCCATTGACTCCTGGATATGAGCCTTTACCCGTCTAACTACTTGGTAGTGGTCGTTGGCAAAGGAAGGCACCTGACCCCACCCTCTTTCTATACGTCGCTTTCTCTTCTCTCTTCTTTCATATGAAACTCTTCATCAGCCATTATCAGCCATCCTGGTCTATTCGCGCCTCATTGCAACTACTACTGGCACTGCAGTGATGATCACTACGGTCGGCAATGCGCAATTACTCGACTGCAAGTGTTGGGTTCTCCACTCGACTAACCGTTCTGTCCCTACGCTGTGTATCGCTGCGAGTCCGTGCAGGTTGAATCGTTCCAACTGTCCAATTGACTCTCGAGTCGGGAACTACGATTATGTATCACGAACTTCGACGGCATACGTAAGTTGAAAGACAAAGGTTCAGGGGTCGTTCTGCGAGACTACGTCCCTCCGGAACCCAAATAGCCAAGCCATCCGGCATCTTTTTAGTGGGAACACCCCTGTCAATTGCTCTACTCCGATATGCTAGGCTTTGCTAACAGCCTAGCAAGAACTCCAGCAACTCAGGCGAGTCAGAGTCTCCTCCACCTTGGCCATTCGTCCAATCTGCTCGCGACGGCGCAGCCCGCTTCTCCACAAGATAAATAATTTCTTTTGCCCCCCACTCTAGTGGCTAAGCCAGCATTCCTGGCTTTCTCTTAGAAGGCTAGTCCCGACTTTGGAGGGATGCCTGCCTGGGATGTGCCTGTTGAGATCGGAAATTGGGGTCAAATGACAGGGTGAGCCGAGTTCTAGCCATTCCATACCGCTTCAGGCTAGGTGCACTCTTTGTTCGATAGGTTGAAGGTCGAGACCTCTGGGCATGTCACGAATTGACGACCCAATCGCATTGCATCGGTAGCCGCGGGTTGGGTGAATTTTTTTGAGTTTGGTTTATCGTATCTTTCGCGGCACAGCGATTGAAGAGACAAACCAAATCATGAGCACCCCACGGAGGCGGTGGTATTGTTGGCTTGAAAACCTAGATAATTTTTTACCAAGGAGTAGGTGCTATCATACAAGACCTTGGCACGAACTACGAAGTTCAAAGACAAAAGCGAACGAGTTGGGCTGCATGTGCTAGATTTTGTCCAATCTTCCCCAGGCTGTGGAACAGTGGACATTGGAAGTGGACACCATGACGACCCGTAGTGACACCTTCAAACTCGATCCAAGATCGTTACGGCCGTGCCTCGTGATGCTCTGCCACAGTACCGCTAATTGTTCTGGCAGTGGCCACTGGTCAGTGCCACAGAGGTCATCCGCAGCGACCTTCCTTCGGATTTTAAACTGCAATGGAGGTGTGAATCGTTGACTCGACAAAACGCAGACGCTTCTTCAATTCGGTTCTTCACAATCTGTGTAATTTGTGTGCTCACCACGGAGTGTCAGGAATGCAATGCAGGATTCAGCTCCCAGCCTCCCAGCATCCTTAATCTGGCCCTCGGTGCAGGGCGGGACCAGCGGTATGGCTCTGGTTGGGTGCGTTGCAGTAACGGCACACCCTTGAATGGCTTAGAAAATGGCGGTTGACTTGATTGAACCTCCTCGGTGGGGACTAGCTGGATTATTCAGGATTTGCATTCGCGCCGTTCCGGGGCCGCTAGGAAGGTGATTGGGACGCCCTAGTTTCATTAGCTTCCTCCCTTCGTTGCTAACCCCGAGCTTGACGCCCCCTGTCAAATCAGAAATCGGTAGCGACACATCTCCGTCTGGTGCGCACACCCTTACAGTGGCAGTGGCTTGCACGCACTCCAGCGCGATAAACGTAAAAAAAAAAAAAGAAAAWAATCGATGGGCCGCGGATACCGCTCTGTCCTAAGGGCAAGCAACCCGTCATCCCATGCCTGTTCGCTCGTGGTGCTAGAACACGCCACAGACTCGTATGATTCGCCGATCCCATACCTTGCGCGATCGTACAGACAAATCTGGCGCAGTGATCACTGGTCACTGGTCAGTCACTCCAAGTGCATATTCTGTATGCACCGGTCGCTATCCAACCAGAGGTGCGGCTTACAGTGCGAGATGCTGAGCTTTCCAGCTTGACACAGATCGACTCTCATTGATCGTAGGAGGTTTTGTGTGACAGCTGCGTCTCTCGAACTGGCCGGAGGAGGCGTCTCATACGTCGACAACGATCCAGACATGGCAGGGTTCAGCGTTCGCACTCACTGTGACATCTACGAGATCTGGTAACGATCGGAGGCGTATGTGCTATGTACACCTGGGAGGCTAGTTATGTACATCCTTGCCCAACAAGTTTCAGGGAGTGGTCGGTCTGAGTAAACGCACTCCCACGCTATTTCCTGTTTGCGCGCGCCAAATGGGATTTCTGTCCATGGAAATACGTATTCTGAGTACGTACTCCGTACTACCATACCGTATGTCGAGGACAGATTCAAGATTACGAACGAAAGTGGCCATGACAGACACGTTCGCATGTCAAGATTGGATGACCGATCTCCGGAAGTGTCTCTACCACGGAGTAGTATTTCCGTACTCAACAGATTTGTAAACGGGGTTGAATGCTAACTCCAGGGTAAAGAAATCGACATGAGAAAAGGATACATGAGCCACTCTAATAGACTAGCACACTAGCTAACAGCTAGCAGCTAGCAGGTCTCCGAGCGACTGGTCAACTCCAGGCGGAACTCTGCCACATCTTCCGCGATTGGCCCCAACAGCTATGCCGGGGTCCCATTCTACTCAGATCGGCCTGTTTCTATGTTTGATGACATGCAATGATCAAATTGAGCTGGAGCTGGATGGGTCGGTCAGAGAAAAAGGGCCCCATACGACCTCTCCGACTAGCATTACAGCATTTTCCGCTCGTTAGTCCGCCCTTCAGCCCCATCCAACCAGCATTAACAATATACAGGACTCCGTACACGCTACGTACACACATACAAGATACCATATCCAGCCTAGTGTCATGCCTGGTCTCTACCTGTTCCGGCTCAGCTCCAATGACAAAAGGAGAGAAAGGGGAAAAACACTGCACAAGATCTCACTCGCCGAGTTTCACCGGATGGGCCGAAAAAAAAAAAATTAAAACCACAGCAAAAGAAAAGAAAGGTGGAAAGCGAGCCAGCCCACTTCCCTCTCCCATCTTCTCGGGACCCGGAGCCGGTGATCATTATCCTTAGTTTTGGGATTGGAAAAGCAAAGAAAAAAAAAGGTTTCAAACTTTCAAGCCTAGCCTGACTGACAAGTTGCATATCGAGAGATCGCAAGATTGGCTGATGATGCAGGCAGGCGACGGCAGTCCACCAACCCTATTTATTCATAAATGTTACAATACGATCGTGACTTAGCTAACGACGAACGGTTGAGTCCCTGACCAGTGACCCCCAAATCCATCTGCGAGGTCTCCACTTCTTTTGATACAATTACAGTCAGACTGAGAACTAGAAGTCCAGACGGACGGGTCATGTATATCTAGTTCTCCATCTCCGTTCGCCATTCACCGCAGTCCCTGCTCTTATTCTTCTTACTCATCCTTGTATCGTCATACCCATTGCCTTAGCGTGTTGATCTTCGCTTTTCTTTCTTCATTGTTTTCTTTTTTTTCTATCCTATATGTAGTATACATTGTCGCCTGGATGGTCATTTTACGGTGTTTTCGATTGGCGTTGCGCGTCGGTTCTCATAAAGTATCAACCTAGACGGTCAGCCTGCTTGACATTACAACTACAGCTACAGCGTTAGAAGACTGCCCGTGGCTTATTACGAGTGTTACTACCCCGTCACAAGACACAAGGCAGAAGATACTCGGACTTTTCCATCTCCGGTCTGGTATTTTGACCAAGATACTTACACCAACGCGGCCTTTTACTGTTTTCTTTTGAGCAACCCAAGATCTGTTTTTGTTTGTTGAAAGCAGCTGTTTCGATTCCAAACTGCACCTCGACGTAGTTTGTCGTCCACCGGCAGCAGCCACGATGGACGCAACGGTACCAATGTCCTATAGGTTTCCGAACAACGAGCTGAGGGTCCTGGAGCCACCTCGATTCATTGATCCTCATGTTGAGAATACTCTGCCATATTACCAAAATGCTGCTCCAGTCACATATGCTCCTCACATACCGTCACCACCTTATGAGGTTCCAGGACACATGATGAATGGGTATCATAACTCGTATCATCAGCCACATCTATTCAACCACCACCAAACTTCAGGACCGCCTCAGACTCACAGCCATGCGCATACCCAGCCTATTCACACCCATCTTCATGCTGCTCAAGTCCATCACGCGCGCCCTATTGCTCTTCACCATCCGCAACAAGCTGCAACAGCAGGACATCTGTCTACAGAGCATACACCTATCCATTCACCTTCCCCGGATGTGCACCAGGCTTCGAGACGAATGCCTCATGTGCAATCCACTAGACTGACACCACAGAACGTTCAACAGCAGCAGCAGCAGCAATCACGGATATTGGACGATTATCGTTCGGGCGCAGCACCCGCTATTACGACGTCTGTCACTACTACGACTACTACCAGCAATGTCAATATCCTCACACCCGTCTCACCATCTTCGAATACCGTTGTAAATGCCCAGAAAAGAGAGAAAGACTCTTCCGGCGTTACCAAAGACATCAACTTCTCGACAGAAGTCGACATGCTGATGAAGACCATTCAATCCCATGATCCTGCTCCTAATAGCAGCAGCTCTACATCTACACCTACTCCGTCTGTGACATCGGCAGCGACGCCGCCGCCACCTCATCACCAATTCTCTACATCGCAACAGCCGCATTATTCATCCAACACATCACAAATGTCCTACCAACTGGGCATAGCGGGTTATAACTCCTATGAGAGTACGCAGAATGCAAATACATCCGCCCCGCAACCGCAGGCTCAATCTGGCGGTCGAGTTGTGAGCGATAGTCCAGATGGGAATTCGAAGCACAAACGAAAGCATCAGTGCACATTACCGGGCTGTGGGAAACTCTTTACTCAAAAGACGCATTTGGATATTCATATGAGAGCTCATACTGGGTTGAAACCATTTGTAAGTACATTTACCTGAGAGGAGGATTCACGATTCTGACCGGGACTCAGAAATGCAACGAACCACAATGCGGACAACGATTCTCGCAACTTGGAAATCTTCGGGTATGTACATGAATTTCTTTCTTTGGATCCTCTTGGACATATTTTTGTCTTATTATCTATTCTTGAAGATGAAGAGCGTGTATTGAACACAAACATTGCGTGGTGCGTTATAGACCCACGAACGACGACATACAGGCGAGAGACCGTTCAAATGCGAGGTTTGCGGCAAGTGCTTCGCCCAGAAAGGCAACGTGAGGGCGCACATGTTTACGCACGCCAAGTCGAAACCGTATACATGTCAATTGGATAGCTGTTGGAAACAGTTCACGCAGCTTGGGAACTTGAAGGTAGCTCTACCCATCACTTTCTATTGGATCAAAGGCTGATGAGAAGGGATAGTCACACCAAAATAAATTCCACGCAGCAACACTCCGCGATCTAACAATCCGCTTTGCGAACATGCCGAATCCAGACGTCATGACGGCAGATGACCGGAGTCTATGGACATATTTTGCCAGTTTGTACAAGAACAGTAATAAGGGCATCAAGGGCCGAGGCAAAGATCGAAAGATAGCTTGTACGAACCCGAACAAGAAGAACTCCAGCAGCAGTGGCAGTGGCAATAACAGCGGCCGTAACGGTCGATCGACAAGCAATGGGAATAGTGCTAGCGAAAATCTTCCTAGTGGCAGTGATTCAGGGTCGAGTGATTACCACAGTTTTGGAGAAGATGGTGACGAGGAAGAGGAATTGCATGAGCAACAGCACCACCACCATCCACAGCAAAGATATGCGCATCATACCATTCCTTCGGTGCACCATGGTCATGGTGGGATCTTAGGGCATGTTGTGCATCATCGAGAACCGTTGTCGATGTACTCGAAGAGTGATCGATGAGAATGAATGTGTATGTATGTGTATATCGGTATGTACTTTAAACTGAAGTATCACAAAAAATTTCACAGCATGATTCAGACTTTGCTATCTACACTGTCATACAGATAGACTCCTGAAAAAATCATAATAGTACATTTCAACATATTATACATGACATCAGATTCTATACATAGCCGCCTTGGTATTCTCATAAACCAAAAACACAACCCACGTGCTTGGCAAAACACGCACCAGGCTCGGTCCTAGTCCCTTATAAAAGCCCGAAAGACCTTCTTGGGTCCATATTTGCTTCGTCGCATCCCATACGCCGCGATATGCGCTTCTAGCCGTTGCGCTTCTTTGGGGGGCATCCGCATTATAAGCTTGTAACTGTAATCGGGTCCGCAGAACCTGGTAAGGATATGTAATACAGCCCGCGAATGTCTTTGATAGACCCGATATCAGGAGAAGCTCTACATTTCCAAACTTCCCGCTCCCTTCTCCTCCTCCCCTCCTTCCTTCAGTATTGCTACCGCTCCCATCGCTGGCGGCACCCAGTCGAAGCCGGTAGCTCTTCAACTTCTCATAAGCCATAAATTGGAACGCGCCATGACTCACCCCGAACAGAGCCGGGATGAGACCCCTATAAAAACCTGGGATGCCCTCCGTGCGCAAGATTTGGGTTGCGCCTGAGACGAAGGATTGGTATGCCCCGGGGGTGTGGGAGCCCGTCGAGAGCATGCGGGTTTTTATTACCCAGATTGGGTTTGTGAGGATTGATGTTGCGGCGCCTGTTTTGCTGGAAGGTTAGTGCATGTTTTCATGTTCTCCAGATATGAGGTGGTGGGAAAGGCGTACCAGCAGCCCCCGAGGCGAGAAAGTACTCTGATGCGCTCAATTTGTCTCCCTCCCCATTGCTATCTTCAATTTTGTTTCTGTTCCGGGCAATCGCCTCCTTTATATTCCCATAAAATAAAAAATAAAGGCTCCAACTCGTCGAGTTTCCGATTATGTTTGGCGTTAGTCCTCGATACAGAGCTCGTATGCCGCCTTCGGTGCGGTATATTTCGCTGAATATGCGTAGGGAGCTGCCGACGCGGTGGCGGGTGAGACGGTCGACTATTCTTTCGTTAGAACAATCGTAAATGGAAAGGATTAGAAGGGCAATGTACTTTGAAGTCGAGTCTTGATCAGATCCAGCGGGTGCAGAGTCAGTGTCGAGACGACTCCGGCCGTGAGTCCGGCTACCGTTTCGATGATGGATGTGGAGGATGCATTTCTTTGGCTCATTGACTTTGTCACGAGTTCGTGGAGTTAATGATCATATAAAACTGGCGGCGGTCAGAGCGTATTGGAAAGGGTATTGTGTTGTTCATGGATAATTAGCAAGCTTGTCCGAGAAATATTTCTATGACGGCACGTCGTAGCTAGATTATCGGCCCGTCCGGCTATATGCCGATTCCGAATGTGTTCGTCGACGAAACAAGAAATATGTGGTGATACTCTTTGAATGTTGATTCTCGAGTCTACTGAAATTCTCGTTTATATTATGGCATATAGTGCGCTTTCTGACTAAAGATTCCATCAATGGATCATGATTCGAGACGTGTAGTATATGATAATCATCAGCAGCAGTTTCTTCCAACCACTGTAATCGAATTTGAAATATATTATACAAGAGCAATCATTCAGAGAATTGGAGACACACTTCTCGTCTATACTCTTCTTGATGCTCAAACATTATGATGGCAGGCATATTGATGGGGTGTGTTAAGACATCGAAACAAGAAGCGAAAAAACACCCGAATGACCAATGTATCCAATTCCTGTATATCAACCTATCGGCGTCCCTTTCGCATGCTATGGAAACACTATCCATCGTATTGTATTGTCTGTTGTATTGTGTTGTATGTTTATGCGAGAGGGGAGAAGAGCCTGTAAGTTATAGTCAGTGGATGTACGCCTGGATATCAGATCGGCCGGCGACGGAGCGTACTTGAAAAGCGTCGGCTTGGGTTCACTGTATGTGTAGCCTGTTGAATTATTAGCAACCCAGGTGATGATAATGGTAGATTTCTTGGATCGTTCATACCAAGATAGACTATGAAAGGAAGGTAGCCACTTGAGAACACTAGTTAGAAATGAAGTTCGTGCGAGTATTATCAATGTCGACAAGCCGTCGGAAGCATGATAGTACTCACTAGTGAACGGCGATTCTGGAGACTTCAATGACCTTGGAGATGCGCTCCTGTTGAGTGCATAGGTTAGTATGAGTTGCGGATACCGCTGGTTCATCACCGTGCTAACCTTGGTTTCTTCGGAAAACTGGACCATTGTGCTTTATTTATTGAAGTCGCAAATATAACGACGAACTTGTTGTGCAGAAGGATTGAATGTTCGGTGCCGGGTGAAACCTTGTTGAAGTGAAGTTGGAGAATTGACGTTGGCTGCGATGGCGGAAAGCTAACAATTTTTTAGCTCGGCCAAGTTTAGCCTTGAATGCTTGCTCTCTGCGCTTTCCGTTCTTCTTCCGTCAAACCACCAGCAACCTCACAACTCAGAAAAGCTTTGACACGAGGTCTTCGAATACCGGCCCGACTTGAACATTAGAATCTGTTTTTTCACCTCCAAAAATCGTAACGCGCCATGTCAGGTGCAAGGCATTGGTACGTTGTCTAGTACAAATCATGTCGTATCCGCTAACAACGCGCAGGGAGCAGGACAAAGAGGCCACTGTCTATATTGGCAACCTCGACGAACGAGTAACCGACAGTCTAGTATGGGAACTTATGCTTCAAGCTGGCCGCATTGTCAACGTCCATCTGCCCAAAGATCGAGTAACGCAGACACACCAGGGTTACGGATTCGTCGAATTTATTAGTGAAGAGGATGCCGAGTACGCCGCTAGGATTATGAACCAAGTCCGTCTCTACGGAAAGCCGATTCGCGTCAACAAGGCTTCCGCGGATAAACAGAAGACGGTCGAAATTGGTGCTGAGCTTTTCGTTGGAAACCTTGATCCAATGGTCACGGAGCAGGTGCTTTACGATACTTTTAGCAGATTCGGAACTTTACTTTCGTTGCCAAAGGTTTGTCATTGCGAATCATTTGTACTTGAATGCAGCTAATGATAATAGATCGCCAGAGACGATGCCAATTTATCCAAAGGCTATGGTTTCGTGTCATTCGCCGACTTTGACGCTTCCGACGCTGCGATAGCCAATATGCACGGACAATATCTAATGAACAAGGAAGTATCGGTTCAATACGCCTATAAGAAGGATGGCAAAGGTGAAAGACACGGCGACGAAGCCGAGAGAATGCTTGCTGCTCAGGCTCGCAGACACAACGTTCAGCCACAGACTCAACCACTACCTCCGCAGATGATGGGACAGGCACCACCTGGAATGATGTCCGGCGCAATGACACCAGATGCAGGACGATCTATGCCTCCTGGTGGACCACCTGACTTTGCCGCAGGTAGAGGTCCTATTCCTATGCAAGCTCAACAGCCACCTAGACCTGGTCCCCCAGCACAGCCATTATCTGCACCTCATCCGGGTCTTCCAGCGCGCCCACCTCCATCTCAAGCAGGATTCGGTGGTCCTCCTCCGCCACAAGGCTTCGCTCCACCTGGCTTCGGCAACGCTCCTCAACAGCCTGGCTTCCCGCCGCAACCTCCCGTCGGATTTGCTCCCCCGGCTGGGTTTGGAGGTCCAATGCCCGGTTCGCAAGGAACTCCGCCATCGTTTCCGCCAGGTTTTCAGCCACCGGGATATGCTCGAGCTCGTTGAATACGGATTATAATATAGAGCGTTATCAAGTTGTGCTTGGAAATTGATTCGATACTCTAAAGCATGTTGCATTGATATTCAAGTCGCTCAAACCAAAGAAACGAATACACGCCACAAGTGAATGGAAATAGACGAGACGTCCGTGTCGAAGTCAACAATATGGAGGCAAAGTTGCAGTGGAAAGACTCATCGCAATGCGTGATATCAAGAAAGGTGCCAAAGGATGGTATTAAAGAACAGAATAGAAAAGGAACGCCAAAGAGAGTATTACGAAAATGAGACGAATTTGGGATCCCTCGGTCGTCCATCTGGTCCGATGTTATTCTTCGCAAATCGTTGCTCGGTGTATAAACGACGCGCCTCATCAAAATCAACACCTCGTCTCTTCATGATTCTGCGTATTTCTCGCTTTGCCTTGTTGTCAAGACCGGATCGGGAGTCGCCCTCGAGAACGTTGTTTGTGAGATCAAATTCGGAGGATGTGAAGCCAGCTTCGATGTCTCCGCTGAAGGTTGTGGGTAGTCGGTCGTATACATAGTCGGGTACATGGTCCTCGACCAGTGGGAGCCATCGTGATCTAGTCAGATACAGAACTAGCACTTATTAGCTTTCGTCTCTTTCTGTTAACTTCATGCATAAATTAAATCACCTACCTGTACCAACGACGATCACCATAAAGGTGAGGCTGTAAAGAATATAAGCCATGATTAAAGACAAATGAGTGTGGTCGCTAGTCGAGCGGTTGAAGGATGCTGGTAAAGTATGATTTGAGGGATGTCGTAGAGTTTCTCACGACAGCAAAAGATGTCACCACATTTCTTGCTTGAGTGTGTTTTCTTTATGGTGAAAAAAACAGACAGCTAAATGGTGCGCTGTCTGCTTGTTGCTTGATGAACGAGGCTCAGATCAGAGCTTACGCAGCAACTCAGAGACAGAGACAGTCTAATTCCGGCGAATCCGTTGCCGCCTAGTAGTGGATGTTGTACGCCTGAAAACCAAGGCAAGGACATTATCGAGCGCCAAGTATATACTACTCCTGTTTCGGAAGAGTATCCATTATGTCAGCCGCTATACCGGATCGAGACCCATTAGCGAGTGGGAGACACACAGCCAGCAAAAGCTACGGGATCCCGATACGACCTTTTTTGTTTGAGTATCGAGATAATTCCCCAGTCTTTGATCGGTTATTCCACACCAGAAAACCCCCAGAACACATAAAAAATGGCTGCTGAAAGGTCCAACGTCTCCGCCGACCTCGTCTGGCAAATCACCCGTACGTTCATTGCTTGCGAAATACGAGAGTTGTGTATATGGAACTCGAGCGGAACTATATACTAACATTTTGTTGCGGGTAGGCAACCAGAACGCTTTCCTCGTCCAGCGCAACAATGCTGGTGGTGTGCGATTCTCCCGCGACCCTTTGAACCCCGTCAACATTCACTCCCGCAAGGTATTTTTATACGCTCGAGAATTCTACAATTGGAGGATGCGAAAGGCTGACATCATTCGCTAGTACGCTGGATACGCCAACGACAAGGTACGCCGGAGAAAAAATTAATATTGAGTGCGAAAATGATGGACGGATTGGAATTGACATGATTGGAATTAGGCCCTCGGTCTCCAGGCTTCTGAGAACGGCGGTGTCGTTCTCATTGCTAAGAACGCCAGCAACACCCAGAACCCTGCTAAGAACATTCGCACTGTCACATACGGCCCCAACACCTCCAACCGCAAGTATGTTCTTCTCCTTCCTATCGGCTAAAAAGCATTCGGCAATGAGGTACTGCTACAGTTCACTTACCAAACTCTCGAACAGGATCTACAAGAGCGTCGCCAGCAGCACTGCTAAGAACGGATACCGTGCCGACTTGAGAGAAGCTGCTGTCTCCCGTGTCAGCGCTCTTCGTCGTTCTCAACAGGCCAAGAAGGACGCCCCTGCCCCCAAGGTCCGTGGCGCTAAGGCCAAGCAGGCTGCTGCTGAGGAGTAAGCGGTTGAATCTTTCGATGCATAAAAATGAAAAGCAAAGAATGAGGACGGGGAAAGACGGAAATGGTGAAACTGGAAATTTTTATGGCGCCAGCTTCTTCCATGATTTTGGGTCATGTTTGTGTATGTTTGATATAATGAAAGAAATAAGACACCTTGACCAAAGTCAATACCGCTTTCCTCAATTACCCTTCGAAAGGGTAGATCCGATATCGTCATTTTAGGCGGCTTATGGATCAACCGCAATTGACAGGCAGAAGATATCGGCATCCCTTGGGGAGATTTAGCCAATATCATTCTTCCATTTTTCCGCCGCGATTCCATTTGACTTTTGGTCAATCTACAAGCATGCAAAAAGCCAATAAGATTCAAAGTCCTTTTTCCACTGTGGACATGTCTAGACATCCACTTGCAAGCATTTTCGCATCCAATTCGCATCCTGTATCCATAATGCTGGCCGTATCAAACAATTGATACTCGTAATGACTCCCTCGGCAACGCAGGCATATGCCGAATTCTCTATCCTTGGTCTCCTGCCTGGTCCGCCTTTTCCCGATGTTCGGATTGAAGATGATGGAGGAACGAATGACAACATCGCGGGGACTTCCGAGATGGACGTCGAGAGATCGCGAATGTCATCATTCCGAGTCTTGTCGGGTTTGCTGTAGCCATACTAATGACAATATACTAAGCGTAAGGGTCTGCCTGAGGCATATAACGTACTACCAGGGTCGCAGCTTCCCGGTGAGAAAAACGTCTCACATGCGCCTGCCCGCAATCCAGTCTGGACTTGCCCCTCTTATAACCCCCCCACCCCCAACATTTGCTCTATTGACTTGCCTCTGCTATACTTTCATCTTGAACCTCAGCTTTCTCTTCTTCGCTAAATTTCATCGGCCAATTGACCCTTCTTCATTCTCATCCTGAATCCCATCACACAGATCGTGAGTAGACCTTATCCTGACCCCGCATCGACTGTTTACTCCTCGCGGTCGAATGTTTACGCGGTCCATAAGCTAACATTAGCTCTCTACTGCCTACAGAATCATGGTTAAAGCAGGTCCGTGTCTCTAGCTGTTTACAGACATCATAGACGACAACAATTAACTCTCTGTAGTCGTTCTCGGTGCCTCTGGCGGTATCGGCCAGGTATGTTTGATATGCTCTGAATCCAAAATCTTGGGGGCCATGTCTAACTGGCGTCTTACTACAGCCTCTCTCACTCCTCTTCAAAGCCAGTCCTCTCGTGGATGAGCTTGCCCTCTACGATGTCGTTAACACCCCTGGTGTCGCTGCCGATCTTTCTCACATCTCCAGCCCCGCTGTACGTCTTCAATTCAACTATACCAACAACGAACCTAGCTCATACATGCTTAGAAAATCACTGGCTACCTCCCAGCAGACGATGGCTTGAAGAAGGCTCTGACCGGTGCTGACATTGTTGTCATTCCTGCCGGTATTCCCCGTGAGTAACCTCAGCTCGGAGTCTATCGCGCATTTCTAATCCAACCAGGCAAGCCGGGAATGACCCGTGACGACCTCTTCAAGATCAACGCCGGAATCGTCCAGACTCTTGTCAAGGGCATTGCAGAGTTCAGCCCCAAGGCTTTCGTGCTCGTCATTTCCAACCCCGTCAACTCCACCGTACCCATTGCCGCCGAGGTCCTCAAAGCTGCCGGTGTTTTCGACCCTAAGCGTCTCTTCGGTGTCACCACCTTGGATGTTGTCCGCGCCGAGACTTTCGTCCAGGAATGGACTGGCCAGAAGAACCCTTCTGAGACCACCATCCCTGTTGTTGGTGGACACTCTGGTGACACCATTGTCCCACTCTTTAGCCAAGCCAAGCCTGCTTTCCAGATCCCTGCCGACAAATACGATGCCCTCGTTAACAGTGAGTTGCTTGATTGGTGTATTATCAAGGCCGTTCTAATAATTTGTTATAGGAGTCCAATTCGGTGGTGACGAGGTTGTCAAGGCCAAGGACGGTGCTGGCTCTGCTACCCTTTCCATGGCCTACGCCGGTTTCAGGTACGTGTATGCATACGCCTCCATTTTCAGACGACTAACTTGAAATCAGATTCGCCGAGAGCGTGATCAAGGCCGTCAAGGGTGAGAAGGGTATCGTTGAGCCTTCCTTTGTCTACCTCCCCGGTGTGCCGGGTGGTGAGGCAGTTCAGAAAGCCACTGGCGTGGAGTTCTTCTCCGTGCCCATTGAACTCGGCGTAAGTTTGACCAGTCAACAATTTGGATGACACTACTAACTTTCATCTAGACTGACGGTGTTGCCAACGCCATTAACGTGCTCGAGAACACCACCGAGACCGAGAAGAAGCTCCTCGAAGTTGCCGTCAAGGGTCTCAAGACCAACATTGAAAAGGGTGTTGACTTCGTCAAGAACCCCCCACCAAAGTAAACACTCAGCCACACCCATTACTTTATCCAAGTCAGTCCATTGAACATCCTTGTTTCGCGACAAATTGTTTAACGAACTGGCTTAAGTCATTGCAGGTTTTAAGGATATTGCTAACTTGTTTGTCTGTCATGAAAGATAGATTGTGAGATGAGATATGACGTGAATGGAGATATGACTCCCATGTTGAAGTGAGACGGAGCGGTGCCTCGACTGTCTTTACATCCTAGACACGATGATTTCCATAGCATTTCTGCTGGATTCTGGCGTATCAAAATAAATTGCCAGATTGAATGAACCTGTGTCGAGTAGACTCGTAGGCCGTCGGGCGAGTTTCACACCCTGATCCAAGTATGCATTTCATGTCTGGGTTGATATTCAAGTCTTTGCCTGGTTACTCTTGATCTGAAAAGTAGCCCCAGGTAGCTCCGACGTCTCCGCCTGCACTGTAGCATCTATACCCAAACTCGCCAAACAACCTCTAATAAGACCACATGGGAACCACAGAAACTGGTATTATTAGTACGCCATGATCAGCCGGCAGGGTGTAATATAAAAACGTACAGCTTCCGCGCGAGCCACCGCCTCACTCCTAACCGCCATACTCATCCTCGTCAAGGGCCGAAACGCATTATCAGACAGGACATAGACACCCTACCCACCACGACCCTTCATAAGCATAGACACTTTTAAAGAGGGGAGTTGAGAAGGGGAAAGGGACATACTCTATGATTCGTCTTGAGATTATCAACCTGTTTCCTAAACAATATCGTCCACAGATCCTTGCATATGAATTTTATCACGTCCAGATTGTCCGTGAAGCGTGGCCGGTCGCGCGAGAATCTACCGATCCACCATTAGCCATTATCTCCCGCGAGAACGTAGAGGGTAAGGGGATATACCGCTCCGTAAGACCCTGCCCAACTCTATACCCCAACATTTCAAGACGGTAAAAAGCCGCTTCTCGAACTTCGTCGTCTTCTATTTTGACATTTGTATTGCTTGTTCCGTCGGCGGCGATTGTGTTTGCGGTTGTGTTTGTGGTGGTAGTGGTGGTGATGGAGTTGACGAGGAGGTCTTGCGTGATGCGTTCGGCCATGGGGACGATTTCAATAAGTAATAGATCGAGACAGGAGGTGCTAACGAAGCGCGCATGAGGGTCGGAGGGATTGAAGGGGTTCTGGGAGTCGAGTGACATTTTGAGAATGTCTCCTCACTGTACTGAGTGAGTCCTCGGTGATGGTAGTTGTTTCGCGGACGAGGTTTCGGTCTCGAGGTGGCGAAGTAGTGACACTGTATTTCTGGTTTCCGGTCCAGTGCGTATCTATTATATTGCGTAGGATCGAGTATAATCGCTGCTAATGCGATTGGATTGTTGAAGGTATTGGGGATGTACAGCGGATATTAGTTATGTTGACGGTGGTCAGATAGTTCAATTCAAAGTGTGGGTCTCCGATATCGAGCTAGCTCACCCTTAACCCTAAGGTCAACGTGGATTACAACATATTTCAACAGTGTTCAACTTTCCTCATGAATAGAATACAATAGTACAAAGTCAAGTATACAATCACAACATAGACTTCAGAAAAGAGTTTACGAAATATCCGCAATGTCCATATCCCCATTCGCCGTCGACTCTTCGATGACTCTCTCTTCCGCCTGTACTGCATCGTCAACAGGAGGTGGTGAAGGAGGTGGCATTGTCCCCAATGGCGTCGCATTGAGCATAGCATCAGCCACAAAAGCGGCTTCGACAGCTGCTTTCCGCTGAAATACGCGTCTCCATCGCACAGCCCAGCGACGAATGATTTCGTTCTCGTCGCGGGTGCTTGGATCATCTTCACTTCTTTCCATGAGTTCATCGTTGCTACCAGCAGCCACAGGCGCAATCGAGTCTTCAATCAAAGTGAACAGCGTCTGCATATCGGCTTTTTCACGGTTGAGCGTTTCGTCGAGAACGCTAAGTTGGGGCTCGTAGAGACCGCGTTGGGTTCTGGCTGCGACGATTTGGCGGATACGGTTGGTAACTTTGCCGACTGTGGAGGAGAGCATTTCGTAGACGGGCGCTTTGGCGAGGATTTTGCCTGCATCAATATGGTCGAGTAATGCCCACTCAACCACGGAGAGCGGAGTGAGGATGGTGTAGTTCAGCAGCTTGTCGATGATGTTGATTGCAACGCCAGGTTGGTCAACCCAGTACTCCATGACGGAGGTGATGATTTGTCGTCGTGCTGTTGCAGAGCGAGGACCAATGGCCAACAGTCTTTCTTTATTTCTCTCAATGCACGATAGAACGTGAGATAGTGATTTGGATCCAACGTAGCATATAGAAGTGACGAATGCATCGGTAGATGGGACCATTGGGTCCTCAATCCCATGTTCTTTGGCTTGAGTCTCGATCTCTGCAATGATTGGTTCGATTTCCTCGTCGGAAGCTTTCTTGCGAATGAGTTGCATTAATTCCGATCCTTGCTTGTTATATGGTGTAGCTACCATTGTTAGTACACTTTCTCTGTATCGAGTGACTGACAAACTTACTCTCTAGAGTGTATTTAAATTCCGGCGTGTCTTGCTCCTTGCCTTCTGTAATCAGATGCTGATATGGCTCAGGAAGCGTCCCCTTGATACGCTGAGCAAAACTCAAGCGAATTTCCTTGTCCAATGCGCCAGTGATGAATGCCATCTTGGGATGGATCTCAGGAAGTTGCAAGTCATCAATCCTGTGAAAGTCAGTATTTTTTAATCTGCGAAAATCAGTATACATTATGAGCACTCACCACTCGGTCCACTTCCATGTAAATCCAAAGTTACTCAAATGGTGCGAGAACCAATCCAAGAACCGCGAAACCAGATCAACATCAAAGCGTTCCAGATTCCGATACAGGAATCGAATGGCACGACCGAGACTAGGCGCGATAGCAGCAGGCGCAATCTTGCAGCACTCCGTCAACACGGAATGATAATAAACAAGCTTATGCTCAGGCGCCGGCAACTGGAAGAGCTGCGAGAAAACAGCGTCCACGGCAACATCCTCCGGCTTCCAAGTTGGTTTGTCTGTGGGAAATTCACGAAGTTTGTCAAAAGGTGTTGCTCGTTTAACGAATATGTCTGGTGCGAAATAACAGTCTACGTCGATGAGGAACTTGGCGACCGCCATGCGGTTGAAGTCCATGATGTTGATCGTGTCAACCAGCGCATCTCGTAGCAAGGTCGACGTGATTTCGCCCGATCCTGGCACAGTCTCGAGATCTTGTTCCAAGTACACCGAATAATAGACTTCTGGATATATGGCTCTTGGCCCATTCTTCACGGGGTCTGGTACAGCCACAGCGGGCAAAGGATGTTTTGTGGCATTTTCAAGCGACAGTGTTTCTTCCATTTTGTCTTCTCCTTCACCTTCGGCTTCGGTTACGGCTTCTTGCTTCTTTGTAGGTAGTTCGAGCGATTTCCAAGGACGAGGGAGGCATTTGAGTTCCCAGCTTCGGTTCGCCGATTCATCCTGCAATTGTGTTTGCAAGAGCCCAATGAAGCTCTGCAAGGGCTCCGAGATTTCACTGTCGAATGTGAATGGAGTCACAAGAGCTTCCAGTGCATGTGGAGTAGACGCAATGATCTCCGTCTTTTCGAGAAGTGCAGTTGCCTGACTTTCAAATCCTGTCGCCGATGATGCCATAATGTACGGAATAGTGACAAGGATAATCTTGACAAGCTCAAGACCCAAAGACTAAGACGATTAGCCTTGTATTCAATTGGGCATGGCGTTGGTAACTTACATCCTCTGAAGATGTCGTCTGCAAATCAACCGCTCTCGAAAACAAATCTTCTAGAATCACAAACACGCCATCGCCTTCGAGCAGTCCTTGCAAGCAACCCAGTAGGCGCACGAGCAACTTGACGTCGCGCCATATGCCGGCATTTAGAGCATCCTGCGCCGTCGAGCTTGTTTTCTTCAATACCTCGGCGGCAAAGTCGGGTTTCAGGGTGTTGATGACTAGAACGACGGCGGCGATGAACGGAATTTTGAAGGGTTGTTCTAGGGTTCTAATGTGTCGAACAAGTTAGTTCACTACCGTACCTACTTGTAGATCAAAGCGACACTCACAGCTGAATAACCGTCTCGAAAAAGGCGTCGCGGACATCGTCATCCTCGGTATTATCAGAGACCATTCGAGCGATATATACGACATCATCTTCCACTCTACGAGCGGGCTAAAATCAAAAGTCAGTGTCAAACCAAGAGAATCAATCATATCCAGCACAAGGTAAAAGCGTATACCGATTCCGCAATCAACAACAATTGCTTCCTAACTCTCGAGCCGAGGGGTTCTTCGTATCGACGTCTGGGAGCTCGGCGATCAAAGTCGTCGTCATCTGTCATTAAACAAATAGAGATCAGTCTTCAATCAATCCCTCGCAACATTCGTCGAAACGTAAAGTTATTGTGTACCTCTGTATCTGCGCTTGCGTCCACCACCACCTCGGTAACCACCATGATTCCGACGATCGTGGTCCGCCATGATCAAAAGTCGTATCCGAAGCAACTAAATGGCTTTGCGTGTGCCAATGTTGGCGTGCGTAGGGGCGATGGCTAACTCGGTTGCTCGATTTTTTGACGCGGAGTTAGATCAGATACGTAACTAAGAAGCTTTACGCGGGTAACTTCTTAGCTTCCCAAAGTGCGCTAAACTGTTTATGGCTGAATGCTCATTGTAATACTTTTAGTCTCTCACCATCATCAGACATTATGAAGATGAATGAGTGAATAGCAGTCTATCTTGAGAGCATTCTGGTCTAGTGAACACACATTTTTGTTCTATAACTATAGCTTCAACATGAATAGAAAAACCTTTGTAAGAAGACCGCAGAGAAATATAAACTTGACCCGAACGTCACTTCCTTTTCTAAAAGCATAATGGAATATGAAGTGCATCAAGTAGAAGTAATAGTAGTGTTATTTCATCGGTTCAGTTCAGTCACTCTATTTCAGTCACTTGTTTAGATAGCTCCAGACCAGTCAAATGGGGGTGATTTTTCACACACAGGCCAAAAAGAAAAGAAACAGGGAAAGAAATTGGAATTGTAAGAAAAAGAGGAGGAAGAAAGAGGCAAACGGGGGGGTCTCATCGATGATAGAGAGATATAGATGGTTATTGAACTTCGAGGACAACGACAGTAAGAGGAAAGACGAGTGTAAAAGTGTATAGTGCGAAAAACATTAAACCAGAAAACAGAAAGTAGGGAACAGGAAAAATGAACAAAGGTCGAAGAGATATACTGGGCATCAACAGAACCATTTCCATCTATCTGCATAACCTTGCAGCACAGCGATGAAAAAATAGGCTCAATCCCCCAGCAAAATCAGGTGCCGTGAAGGTGATGTCACTTATGGAATCATACAAAAAGCTCCACCGGTTGTCCTCGTTCATTCATGCTCATCCACCCAGTCAGTCCATGCCATAGAAGTTTAGCCCAGGATCCTCGACTTCCCATCCATACATCATCATAAGACTCGTACACACAAGGGGTATCATTTTCATTGTCTCTTGCAAGCGAAAAGGCATGGGAACTCGACGGTCAACTCGTTCGATCTGTTCCTTGCCGTTTGGTAGCATCGAGATAACTGCTCTTTGCCACTTCCCCATCGACATCGCATGGTGGAACTCCGTAAAACTTTTGTAGCAGAGAGACCAGTCATCATCCCCCCTGACACCGCCCGACTTGCAAAACCGTAAGTAACATGTTCGGAAACTTTTCTCTCAATATGCAAGACCACCCAATGCATAAATATGAAGGGAGGCATGTCTGTGGTGTCAAACAAGCAAGCTCGCAATTCCTTTTTTTATTCGTTTTTGATCACATTATTTAGCATCCCAAATTAGATTCCGAATTCGTTCGTTCAGCACGATAATAAGGAAAGAGTATAGATCAGTCGAGATGAGCTCGCATCTCTTCTTGCGGAATAGGCGTGAAGTTGTCGATATCCAATCCGCGGGCCTCGAGGGCGGCTTTGGCATGCTCTGGAACTAATCGACTGTTCAACTCGGGCGAGATGGAAAGTTCTATTATCAATTAGCCCCGAATATTTGGATGTAGCAGACAAATATAACGTACCGTGGTGTGAGAAGTCGAAGAGGTTGGGTAGATCACGGGCGGGATTGCTGGGGTGACGAGAGTCTGGCAATCGAGTGTTGGGGTCACGCAATTCATCAAAAAATGGGTGGCACATGGCTTCGATTGCTCGGAGTCGCTGTGTGGGTGTATATTCTAAGAGGGCTGAGATGAGATCGATGGCCTCGTGCGGTGCTCGACGGAAGACCTGCAGAGTAAGGTTAACGCCGTATGAAGAGTAGAGATTAACTGTTTCATACCTTATTGAAGGGATGAGGCTTGATCTGTGGGAATTTATGCTCCATGTAGTTCGGGTTCATGGTGCGGATTTGTTCCCTGGTTGGGGTACCTAGCACTTTGATGATTTCTACCAATTGATCGATTCCGGATTCTCCAGGGAACAAAGGTTGTCCAAGCATCAATTCGGCCATGACACAGCCAGTAGACCACACATCTGTTCAGGTCAGTGCAAGATCTTCCAATGGTAGACAACGTAGAATTACCAATTTTTGTAGTGTAGTTTGTTGCGCCAAAAATCAGTTCTGGTGCTCGGTAGTAGCGAGAGCAGATGTAAGAAACGTTGGGCTCGTTTTCGACCAAAATCTTCGCAGAACCGAAATCGCAGAGCTTGAGAATGCCCGTATTAGGGTCAAGCAAGAGATTCTGTGGTTTGATATCTCGGTGACAAATGCCTCGCGAGTGGATATAGGCCAGTGAGCGGAAAAGTTGGTAAATGTAAAGCTTCACCTCCAGCATTGGCATGGTCGTTTTCAGCTTGTTGAAGTAGCGCGAGGCCCGGTAGACCGTTTCGGGGACATATTCGAGAACTAGGTTGAGGTAAACCTCATCTTTCTGTGGAAGCAATAAGTTCACTATCCCAATAAATGATGCATGCACAGATTAGATGGACATACCCTTTCGCCATTAGAATAGTAAAAAGCTTTCAGCTCAACGATATTTGGATGGCGTACAATGCGCATGATTTGCAATTCACGGTTCTAGACTTGTCATTAATATTTGTGCACGTCAAAAAGTACCGTGAAACCAACCTTGAACCGCTTATCTTGCAGTACTCGCTTGATGGCAGCATCCTCACCACTGGGAGACATTTTTGTCTGGAAAACAACGCCGAAGGAGCCATTCCCAACAATTTTGCACTGGGTGTATTGCATTTCCTTGGTCTCKCCAGTCAAGCCATCTTGAACCTTTTCACGTACGACTTCTGTATTCGAGAGCAGTCAGCCATCAGAGCTCTGTAATGCCAACAGCAAAAAATAGGTCAACTCACCCCCCATACGCAGGCCCGAGAATACTCCGGACCGATTTTGCGACATCACGGAGGTATCTGACGAAAACCAGTGACAACAGAAAGAGTGATACTATCGAGAATATGGAGGACTGCACTTGAGCAGTGAGTGACGCCGGTGCTGCTGGGTAATTACTGAAGGGTCCGTCTTGGGCAGTTTTAGAATGAAAAACAACGCCGATGCAGCTGCTCTGGAATGAAGCCAACAAGCGAATTGTTCCGAAAAGTTCGGTGGTCGTAAACGTACGTCGCTTGGTATTTTGAGCAGAAATTAAGGGTATGTCGTTTCCAACACGGCAATTCCCGTCCTTCGTTTACAGCGAAGCACTTAATCGAGGTCAATTGCTTGTGGCGGACAAATTCACGCAAAATACTTTAGTCGGCCGGAACGATGAAATCGGATTTCGAATGTCTGTCTCGTATCGGACTGTCCCGAGGAATGCTTGCGGGTGGCTCAAAATAGCAGAATTATTCGAGGGCCACTATAGATAAGAGCAGAGTGGATCAGCCTAGATCAAATAGAAATTCCGCAACAAGGGGTAAATTCGAGTCTGAGAACAAATCACGAGTGGGATAATGAATTAAGATAGTATCTGTATAGGGCAGAGGAGGGGGCGGCGAAAGGTGAAGTATGATGACAGTCGACTGTAGAGGGGACATGAGCAGTTGCACGCACAAGGAGTATGGAATGTAGCGAACAGTGGAATCGAGATCTCGAGCCAACTGACAGTGTTAAAAACGTGGGCGACGCAAGTGAATGTCAAGTAAATGTAGAAGAAGGTATGCTCAAGTCGAATGTTGGTGGTGGAGTGCTTTGTTTAACGTGGTGGGAGAGACCGCAGAGTGGGAGAGCACAGAGCGGTCGGAAACAAATGACACACGGCCGTTCCGGTAGCAGGGCAGAATGACCCAACGCACGAGACAAGCAAAGAGTATAGAGAATCAGATGAGGACGGGGCGAAGAGATGAAATCAAAAGGGAGAATACATGGATCGAAAACTGAAAATTGAAAGAGAAAAAAAGGTGAAAAAGGAAAAAGCTTGACGAGGGGGAAAAAGAAAAGTGAGGAAAGCCAGTACAGTCGAGGAGCCAGAAGCGCTACTCCGGGAAAGGATGAGAGAGAGCGAGGATGGTGCAGGCTGGAAGGCCCCCGGGGGATTTAATGATTCGCGCAGGCTGCGAGGATGAACATAGAAGGTATATACGTACTCAGTCGTCAGGTATCGGTCAGCTAGTAAGTCGTACCAGGCAGATGCTAGAGATGGTGGTAGCAGCGAGGCAGTAGTAGTACCAGCAACACAATCTGATAGAGAAAGCAACACGCCGTTGCCGAAATTGAAAGGTAGGTAGGTAAGTAAAGTAAGTAAGTTCAGTTCAAGTTGGATTTGATGGAGTAGGTAAGAGTAGAGTGTGTCAGTGGTCAATAGTAGTACTAAAGTGGGCGGTGGGTAGGCGAATGAAGCGGGAAGGCTGAGACTGGGAAGTCGAACTAAGCAGGCAGAGTGGTGGAGATAAATTACTGATGGTGCTAGTAGTTGACTGGGACCCTGCTCAGTACGCCTTGCTCCTTGGACCAGGACGAGCGATGGTGAAATTTTGTATGGGTCGAATCGTAGTTGCCGGATAGTACGCGATGACAGAACCTCATGATAGTTGAACACAAAGCGCCATCGGTGGGTGAATGACAAAGGGGAAGGAAGAGGAAGTTGTTCGTGATGACCGATGATGATGATGGAAAGGACGGCGCGTGATTGGCCGAGGAGGCCTGAGAATGACGGCAGTTCCGTGCCTTAGGCAAGAAAGAGGAAGCTCCAACGCTTTTGTTTCTACGTCGATTTGATACTTATAGGCCTGGTTAGATGCTATTGCAGATCAGATCAGATATTCCCAAACGTATCTGTCAAGCCATCCCATCATCTCTCCATCATTTGCGCTCAGACTAGCAGTAGAACTTAGCAGAGGTACAGTAGCTAGGCCGTATGCCAGAAAAAAGAGGGGTCAGTCTTTGGTACGCTTGTAGCCGTATTATTCGTAATGCGCCGTACCGTGTACGTGTAATTCGTCAATACTTACTACATACGTTATTTACACACGCCACAAACC